ATGAAAAGTAAATATTACTATTTGCACAACAAATCGTTATAACTACAGTTACCAAAGATAAAGGCAATGATGCGCTGCGAGGTAATGTTGAACGTATGTTCGCAAAGTGAGTTGGAGGAGTTGAATCTCACTATATTTAAAATCAAGTTAAGAGACCACTTCTCCACTAACTTTAAAGAACATGGATGTATCCTCGTATGGAATTATAATGTTGCACGTCCGATCTTCAAAGCGCGTTGTTTAAATTTCTAAAACATGGAAGAGTTAGATCTGGCAATATTTTAAAATGTAATGTCAAAGACCCAACCTTCCACCTTCCAAAAATTCATGTCTGCCCAAAATCGAGGAGTTCTTGAAGAAGAGACTTACCTGGTTGATGAACGCGTGTGTTTGAGGGAAACACCTCGGAACTAATAAAGTTCGAAACTCTACGTGTAGGAATTTTATATTGGTATTAAGACAATCCTTTATTTATTCACTGATATCGATGAGCCAATAAATTCGGTCCGATTACGATCACGAGTGTCATCACTATCTGTCCCTATCTCTTTCCGTGGCCAATGAGTTTAAATTTTATTAAAAATTGAAGAAAAAAATTCCAAATATATAAATGTCACGTATTAATTATGTACAATACGTTTTTATCGTATGAACAAATAGATGAGGCAAGTTCACTGAATCCAAACTTGATTCATATAAGATGTTCCACAATATTCAATATGGGAGAGTATTTGAGTTCTGATTACTACTGATATATACAACAATCGTTGATGAAATTTGTATGGATAACCTGATGTTCGATATGCGACAGTTTAAAACCGGAACGAGACAATCCGTTTTTTTACACGTTACAATTACATAAATTATTTTTTCGCCGCACCTTGCCTTGTCGCTTTTCGCTTGATAAGATAAAGCAATAGCTAGCTGAAAAACTGATTTCTTTGAAACTACTAAGCGTAAAGTATAATTGACTAATAAAGCATTATATAAATATACAAAACATAAGTTAATGATAGAACTATGAGATTTATAGAAAATACTTTCCCTTGAAGTGTATGAATCTTATTAATTGAACTTATTTCAAATTGTCTTACGTAATGTATAAATGTAATTTTTTAAATGTATTTATTAATATCAATTGATTTCGTTATTAATAAATAACTAACTTAATTATGATTCTTTATTTGTTCTTAAGAATTATTTATTTAAGTTAAGAGCTCATGAAATAATACTTTTTACTTTTCCAATGAAAGTATGATCTATCTAACTTGGATTAGATACCTCATGTTTGAGTTTACTATTGATAAGACATTGGGCTCTCTGTTTGTACAATTTGTTTGCTATTTCTGTAAACATTTACATTTTCTATGAAGACGAAGTAAATTTGAAAGTAGTTTCATCGAGATACGTAGATATATATAAATAAATACATTACCTGTTATTTAATTCCTTATACTTTTATCTCGTTCAAGTGTTTTCGCCTACATTCTATTTTTTTAAGCGATGGTATCTATCAATTTTGATGACTTTTAACAGATAAGGAGTTTGAACAAAGCAAATAGGAGAGCAAATGAAACGATTTTTTTTAATGTACAGTATATATAAAAGAATATCATATAATTTCATTCGGGAACAATTTTCTGCGGCAACAAAGGTCTAATATTAGCGATAATTTGATCTCGATTAAATATCGTTATGCCCTTGTCCTGTAATGTCTGTACTCCGATTCCTAAATACTGAGCGATGTTGGTGGGTTGGTAGATGATATGAAAGCATTTCTGTATATAGGGAAGAAAGTCGTCGGCAAACGCCATGCAAAGACGCGTGAATGCGTCTTTGGCGTTCGCTGTAAAAGCTTGATGTTCTTGCCCGTACAATACCAACAAACCATCGGCTACTTTAACCAGAGATTCTTGCATAATATCGGTGACATCATTGACGGATGCGATAGGCGCGCACAACCTCAAGCTATTGAAACTGATTAAAACTTTATTAGCATATTCGGCTAACGGATAAAATTCCAATAAGCTGTCCGGCGGCTGCAGAGGATCCTCGTTCCGGCTCTTCCAAGATAACTTCGAGAAGTTCTTGTTGATCAACGTAAACTTCTCCATATTTGCCTCATACTCGATAGTTGCATTTTGTATGTTTCTTTGAAAATTGCTAACAATTGCTTCCAAAAATATAGGCACCAACATTAACCTGAAGTCGCATCCAACCTTTCCAAAAGACAATCCGAAGTACATGCATTGTCCGAGAAACGAATCCAGTGATGCAGTGCAGCTTGCCAAATCATTTTTCAACGTTGTCAGAAATACCGATATCTTTAGATGAAAAACACATATTTGTTAATTTAATATCTTGATACATCCTACTTAATTATTACCTTTTGGTTCAACCAGGCAAAGAATATGCAATTTTGATTTACATTCTGATACTTCCCATTATTAACCAATAAGGGATTATGATCATCATCATTAAAAACTGCTCTATATTGAGTTACAATGTTAAACAAATTAACTCTAGTAACTTCAATTGTTCTACTTAAATGCTGATTCACTAAAATAATAAAATAATTATAATATATTAGGAATATTTTTAAGCTTCTTACAGTCATTTGTTGGAATCTGTTTCAGACTATCTTCCAGCCAACTGTTCCTTGCTTGCAAAAATTTCAATCTAAGCTCAGGCTCTGAGAAAGAACCCATCCTTCTTAAATGACCAACAATTTCCAAACACTTGGGTAATTGTATATCTTTATGCAATTGCTTCAACAATTGATGCAATAATATCTGCCACAGCTTATCAACTTCAGCAGATATAGTCTAAAAATAAACTAATGGTTATTACATAAATTACTTTAAATTAAAAAAAAATCAACCTGAAAGATTTCAATATCTGGATGTTTGGTGTGCAACCTATGCACATAAGCTGCCAATTCCAAAGCCTGATCATAGGAATCATCTTTAATAAAATTATCCATCAGCTGAGAAAGTTCCAAAATTTCAACCAACTTAACACTTCTTGTCAAAGTTAATGAGTTTAACTTCCTTAAATTACTGAATTTGTTGCTTTCAATAAGAAACTCTTCACATTTCTGTTCAAACTTTGGAACATGTTCCAATAAGCTGTTCAACTTTCCTTCAACTGCATTGAATTGTGCTGAAGACTGTTTTGAGCATTCAGCAGTCTGAATGAAAGATTTATAATTTTTCACAGCCAAATCCTGTGTTTGCTCAAAAATTGACAATTTTTCATCATGCAATCTCTTAGGTTCTTTTAGCAGTTCTTCGCACCTGTATGTACCTAATTTCCTGATATACTCATTAAAACTTTTCTTTTCTCCCAGCTCTGAAACATGTAAACATAAATAATACAATTTATAATATTAAATAAAAATATTTACTTGTGAAGTCATCAAAAAGTAAATTCAACAGTGCAACTTCAGAATTTTCCATATTTTAATATTGATTATTAATTAGTGCACAGATATGAAGTCTATATACTTGACACTATTTGGCACAACAAAACCATTGGCATTTTATAGTAGGACTGAATGTGACACATCAACAGCTGATTGTACTGGATTCTACCGTCATTAAAGAGTACTCGCATGCCCTCTGCAATGATACATTAGAAGTTTTAATCGACCTCTGCAGATATCTGCGGGTTGCATCCAACAAAGCTATTTTTTTACTTTATTTGCATGTTGCGGATGGATGTGTCATAGGTGGTGTCTCAGTTTGGGTTATTGGTTACCCTGCATATTTTTAATTAAATGGAAATGTTTAATAATCTGGAAATGAGAATAAAGCGTTTTGTGATTTGGTTCTTTGGTTTATCAATTTTAATAATCATATACAAACTAAGTATAATAGAATCTGGTAATTAAACAATTACTCTATCTACAAAATATTTATTTCTTATTTCTTTTTAGATGTTGAAAAGTTGCAATTTCTTAAAGAAACTCTGTTTTTGAATAAAGAACAGTTGCAATTGTCACATCATCAATTGTTACTTGTCGAGCATTTGTACCAAAACAAAGTAGGTGGTGGATTGCCCACAATATATGCAATAACCCCAACATATTACAGACATGTACAAAAAGCAGAATTAACTAGAATCTCACAAACATTGGCTTTGGTACCAAATATACATTGGGTCGTTGTTGAAGATTCTGAGGAGAAAACAGATTTGGTTAGAAGAATACTCAATGACTCTAATATTATATTTACTCATCTCAATGCCAAGACTCCACCATTCGAGCAGCTAAAAGATAAGGTGCAAAGGTGTAATAATTTCATGTTTTACAGATGATTATATTCATTGTTATTAATATAGGATCCCAGGTGGAAAAAGCACAGAGGTGTGGAGCAGAGGAATGCAGGATTGAAATGGCTTAGAGATCATTTGAAAGTCAATGAAGATAAAGGTGTTGTTTACTTCATGGATGATGACAACACTTACAGTATTAAATTATTTAAAGAGGTATTTGATGCTATTTTCATGTAATTTTGAGTATTTATTTTCATAATTTATTTTTATAATTTTATTTTTGTTACAGATATCTAAAGTAAAGAGGGTTGGAGTGTGGCCTGTTGGTTTAGTAGGTGGTCTAAATGCTGAATTACCTATTCTTGATGAAAAAACTGGTAAAGTGATTGGCTATAAAAGTGGATGGAAGCCAGATCGCCCTTTTGCCATAGACATGGCAGGATTTGCTATTAATTTAGATTTAATACTAACTAAATTACAAGCAAATTTTTCTTACAAAATGGAGCATGGCTTGCAAGAAAGCGAGTTTTTAAGTTTCTTTACAACAAAAGAAAATCTTGAGCCTTTAGCATCAAACTGTACAGAAGTTTATGTATGGCATACAAGGACTGAGAAACCAAAAATTAATGGTTTAATTCCAGATTTAGAAGTTTAATAAAAATTAAATAAGGAACACATGATTATTCAGAATAATAAATATTTTTTAACCCCATGCCTGTGTTTTACAATAATGCAATACTAGTGTTCCTTCAGTGCTATAGCAATCGTAGAGATTCTTGACAATCTGGTCAGGAGATGGTGCAAATGTTTGATTAACATATAAGAACTGAAACATGAGTACTTTTACATTGCTAAACATAATTAATATTACTATGAAATTACCAGTCTTTCTTGAGGTTCCAATTTCAGGTATTTTTTCATAAAATCAATAATCCATCCAATTGGTTTGTTAGATTCAACTGACCACTTTTTCTTTTTCATAATTGGAGCATTACCTGTTGGCTTTAAAAGTATATCAACTGGAAAAAAATATATAAATATTAGAATGAAACATTCAAGAAAACAAAACATAACATATATTTACTTTTTTGTTTTTCTGTTTTACTTTCACCATCTGTACCAGAATCTTCTTGGTTAATATTTGTATTATGTGCGGTATCATTGTTGTCACACATCTTCTATTTGTTTCCTTTATAATATAATATATTCAAAAACAATCTAGCAATGGCTTATAATGGATTCTATCATTCGATTCTATACCAATATGCATATAGAGAATTGTTGCCAATATTGTGAAGTAAAATTGGTAGCACTGATAAAATTATTTTCTAATTGAGTGCATCGTGTGTCATGCTTTTTCTGGATTTTTTGGATATTGAACAAGTTGTACGAATTTCCGTTGGAAAAATATAGAGTTGGATTATTTTTCAGATAATAAAAGGAGTGTGATAATTTATTTCAACGCGTTCTATTTTAGTGATGGAAGTGGTTTCCAGTCTGTTGGTGGATGAGCGAGAAGATGGTGAAATTGTGGATGACGAAGATGTGGACTTTGAAGAAATTTCTGACTATTCGATGCCTTCCTGCGGTGGTAAGTCTGATTACAGTCGGAACATAATAAGGGCAATTTCTTTGAGTAGCATCAGTGGAGATTCAGATGATAGGGACAGTGAGGACCAGAAGAACAAGTTTTACTTTCCAACTAAGAAAAGAAGAAGGCATGGAAGAGTGCATATACATAAGCGAAGAAGGAGAATTTCGATTTCTTCTTCTTCTGAAGATGAGAAGCTAGATAGTAGAACATTGAAGCAATTAAAAGAAGCTGTCAGAATCAATGTTTCTGATGAATTTCATCATAATTCTCTTAGGACAAGGTTGAAAGGCATGATTGATCCTGATTCTCAAGATGAAGAATGTTTGAGGACGATGGCATTAATTACACAAAGTAATGATAAACCTAAAAATGAAGAAAATGAAATACATGATAATGAAAAAGATGATCATGATAAAGAATTATCTGAATTAAGATTAGAAGCACTGAAATCAGCTTTTCTAAAAAAATATATAGAAAGAAAAAGAAGGAAAGAAATTAATGACAAAGAAAATGAGGAACACAAGAAAGTGGAAGAAAATGTAGACATTGAAGAAGATGTAGATGTGATGAGAGCTATGCTTTTAGCTTCCATGTCCAAGAAAATCACTGAATTACCTCCCAGCTCAACTCCAATTGTACAAAAACATCTTCCAAGTAAACCAACATTTATTGTGAAGCCACTAATCATCAATCTTAACTCTGATTCAGACTCAGATAGTGATAATAATAATAAAACTCAACAAAATCCTAAAATTAGTGAAAATGTTACTGCACTTTTAAGGAAACAAAGAGAAGAGTTTGAAGCTAAGGAAGAAGCAAAAGAAGAAGCTCTTCTGGATAAATCAGTAGTTAAGTTACTTTCCAAAGCACAGCAAAAAGAATATCAGTTACTCCAAGAAAAATTACTTCAGGCAAAAAATCTTCAAGTTAAGAAACTTTTAAATGGTGTCCATAACAACAAAGATGCAACATCGAAGAAAAAATCACTGCTGGATTTACAAGTACAGAAAGATGGAAGGTATTTAAGAATTTACAACAAGATTTACTTTTTTGTTTCGTTTCTCTCCTCTTTTTCTTTCTTCTACGTTTTTGTTTGCAAAATGCAGGTTTCAAATGAAAGGTAAGTATAAGGAATTGGCTCCACTGAAGAAATTGGTAGATCAAGCAAATCTTGTTCGGAAGCAGCAAGATGAAAAGACTAAGAGGCTACTCAAGGAATTGAATGAAGCTAAGCTGAAATTAGCATCTGACCATAAAATGTATTCCAATATGGTTCAGAAATTGTTGAAAGCTAAAGAAAATATAGATAAACGGTAAGCAAATGTAATAGAAAAAATGTCTCTTGTTGTGGAATTTTTAAAGATAACTTTTAGCACAAATGTGAACAAAATTGAGCTCAAAGCACCTTTAGTTGAAAATACTGAAGCAAAAAATGTACCTGTAGAGGTAACACCTCCAGTTGATAAAAATGCAATTGATACAACAAATGAGGTGTCTAAATATGTATCACCATTGGATCATAGGTATATTTGATAGAAGTATTATTAAAGTATACTTGATATCAGTAATTATTTTTGTTTTTAAGGGAAATCAAACAACCAAATGCCAATCCCTTGGAGTTCCTTTGTCCATACGAACTATTTGGTGTGTGCAGAGATAAAGATTGCAACTTCAATCATTGTACGTAATGTATATATTTGTTATTATAAAGTTCTAAATTTATAATAGATTTTGTTTATTTTTATCTATTTGTTTTTTCATAAATTAAAAAGAAACAATATTAGGATGAGAAAATTATATATTAAAAAAAAGGAGATAAAACAAAAAGTGTCAATATTATTTTTATACATTTTTTTTAGATATTACATTAGATAATAATTTAATTATAGTTGTTATTTGTTAAATTTTTTTAATAAATTATTTTGAACAATATTTGTTTATTATTTGTGGGTGAGATTTAAACGATTCTCATATGAACCTAGTAGAAAACAATATAAATCGCATAATTGCTAGAATTTATTTTTATATGAACCTGAGAATTCCCTCCTTGAATATTTATGTTTATTCTGGTTGAGATGCGTTTGATCCTGCTCTACATCTGTTATTGGTATACAATCTGCATGTAACACTTCTTCCATATTTCCATAATCATTAAACTGAACAACACATGTTTTCTGGGTGAGTCCTGTTACAGTTGCATTATAGTATTTGTTGTCCTCCCAATATTTAGCCATACATTGATCCCCAATTTTAAATTGCCATTTATTTGATTCTGGTGGATTGTTACGTCCCAGGTTCAAGTGTTGGCGGAAAGCTTTTGCAGCAAATGTTCCGTTCACGTCGACATTCATCTTTGCCATATTCTGAGTCAATTTAGTCATATTTGTATTTGATTTAACAACGTCATGCTCAATCTTAGTATCTTCTGGCATATTAGAAATAACTGGTTTGTTTTCATTATTAATCTTTAAATCGGCATTCCTATTCTTATAAGTGTTCTTGTTATCAAATTTATTCCCGTAAACTCCTTTCACATCATTGCTATTTTTATTCCCATAACCGTTTCTCATATCAGAGTTACTTTTAATAGCATTACCGAAATTATTTTTAACCGGTGCTCCTCCTCTATTATCATATTTGTTTTTATTATAAACTCCTCGAGGGTCATAATTCTTTTTAAATCCAATGCTACTTTTATTATCGTAGTAAGCATTTTTATTTTCAAACCCATTTTTAGCCTCATAGTTATATACATTAGCGTTATTAGTTAATTCAGGTTTTTTTCTGTTATCATATGTATTATAATCATTAGTGTCAATGGACAATTTATTTTCCAAAAAGTCGAATAGAGAAACATTCTCTGATGGTTTCTGCATTTGCTTCTCATCTTCAAGTAGTTCTTTTCTGCCACGCCTTCCGCCAACCTTCCGATCTCTTTGACTATTCTCTTGTAAATTTCTAATAACTTTTATGGGTTTGGTACCACCACCAAATACCTTCTTCACAGCACCACTTGTGGCTTCAGCAATTGCATCTTGCCTCTGGGATTCAAATTCACTTGATTCATTTTTGGGACCATCCTTATCATTAACCAATGATTTGAAGTTTTTATCATTTGAGACCATAAGTTTCTTGCCAAAATTAACCCATGGTGGAGGTCCTTCACCATCACCACCAGTATTTCCACGATTATGATTTGAAATATTTTTGTTTACTTCCCATTTTTCATATAATGCTTCTACTCTTCCACCTAACACTGAACAATTCTGGGGTGTTAATAAAATATACCCAGAACTAATTTTAGCATTTTTCAATAAAAGCTTGGTTCCTGGTGCTGTTTTGTTTAAACTTAATTGAGATATTTGCTCAGTTTCAATTGCCTGACAGTGGCTATGGCCATCAGTCAAAATCAGTTTAAGCATTCTAGGCGCAGCCTGAGAATCTTCATTTGCTTTTGGAGCAGAAACATTCCTGAGTTTTTGAATTTGAACAACCAGCTAAAATAAAAACAATGAAGAAATATTTACAAAATTTTCACAATTACCTTAGGAATTTGCTTTTGCCCTAGAAGTGGTGAGAGGACTGATTTGCCAATATCTTTCAAGTCCGTCTGAAACATTTAAAAAAAATAAGGTTTTGCTTACAATTTGTTAGTTGAGATAACTTACGTTTATTGCATTCTGTATGATATCCTTCGTAGATTTTACATTCTCACTGACACATACCAATCCTTCTGCAGTTATTTGCCTTAAAAGGAAAAGATAATAATCTCATGTTGCAGATTTTACTATATAAATATTTAGTTACCATCCTTCATCTTGCAGAATTTCCATCGTAGAATCTTCTTTACTTTTGCTCATATTTTATTAAATTACAAAGTAATCACAAATCAAAATTATAGGTTAATTCACTGAGAAACTGAGAAATACGTTTATTTTTGACATTTTATTATGGAAAAAACGTTGCCATCCAGGCAAAGTTATGCAATTTTGGTTGCATATACTATAATATAATTTAATGAATTTTTATGAACTAATTCAGAATTATATTTTGATGAGCATAATTTAGATTAATATGTTTTTAAGTAAATATAACACTTGCAATAAACATTTTATTATTCTTATAATTATGTGTTTTTTTTTAATTTATAAAAAAGATGAATATCAATTTATTGGCTCTATTTCTACCCCTTTCGAGTTTATCGGTCTCCACAATTTTTTGTTGTTTTTTGAGAATTGAACCAACGATCTTTTGTATCAGATTTTCGTAACACAGGTGACCATAGAATTATGTGTTTGCCAATAAATTCTTTAATTAGGAAGAATATATGTTTCAAAATTTTATTGTCATATAAAATTTGATTTAATTTTCTATTTGTTGATATATGACTGTTATAGTAAATATTATTATTATATTAAGATTATATGTATACACCACAACTTCCAAAGACAAAAGTATTTGTTGTAGATTCTTCATGGGGCAAATAATACCACGTTGCATTCATAAAATGTATCATTGTATCCATAATTTTTCCATGTTCATAAGCTGAAAATATGAAAGTTAATTTTTAATAGTCATATGTGGTTTATGTGGTAATGAATAATGCAAACAATTTTATTTCATGATTTACAATATTATAAATCATACTTGAGTGTACATGTCTTTTTCCTATGTAGTAGCGTACTATATCCTTTGACGTCAATATAATGTAATTATGATTGAGTATCTTAAATCGCTGTTTATGAAATTAATTATAGTTGGTCTGTGCCACTTAAAAATCAAATTGGAATATATTTTGAAATGTTACGGTTTGTGCTTATGGCACGATTATTTTTTGAAAACAATAAATATTATTTGTAAAGATAAGCATTTTTAATTTAAGTATATTTGCGACAAAAGGACAATAATAAACAATCATTTGGGAGAGATACCGCTGCTTATTTTCAATATAATAGAGTAAGTAATGGAATTGGTTGTTGAACAATGAATAAAGCGACGAAGAATTCTCGTTGTGCTGTCATGGTTGTACCCTTAATGCCCTTAATCTTCTCTATTGGATAATTGTATCACTTGTTAAGCATGAATTTAAATTGAGGAAATAATAAAAGCAGAGCCTCAGAATATTCGTGCAATTATGTAGTTGGTTTATCTTATCGCGACGGTTATAAATAAATACTTACAATATTTGAATACAATATAATGCATTCACAATAACAACTTCTTCGTTCTGTTATCAATATCGCGTGAGCGTGAGTCACCTTTCATGTTATTATTATATGGAAATATCGATATTCAAAGAAAATATTACATTAAGTTTTGAATTCCGGCGGCAAGAGTGGGCGCGCGTCATTGGTGGATGCACTCTTGACAGTGCAATAGGTTTGCCGAATGCGACGATCCGTCATCAGTCGTCAGCTGTCTTTCGTGCCGTGAATATGGTCAAACAAGTGTTCCTAATTTTAGTTTTGTTTTGTTCGATATTCGTTTACTTTTCGGTCGCCGATGCTGCAATTAAGACTTTACATGGGTACAAAGATCCTCCGCAGGGTCGGACGGTCTTCTTGGACGCGGATGAAGCCGGCTTCGTTGCACCCAAAGTGGTAAAACGAAATGCCGAAGCTCCCCATAAAGATAACTCTATGCCTGATAATAGCAACATCTACACAAAGGTAAAATAGCTTAAACAAAAAGCAATTACTCTAGATGCCACTTACATCAGACACAGCACTCTAAAAAAAGCAACAAAATATGAATTACCTAATTTTTTTTGGAGAGAAAAAATTACTGGCAGAATTTGATATGGCTTTGAGGAACAAAGGAAGCGGTTTTGCGCGCGCTGATTATTTTGGCGAAATAGAAAATTTCCGCTATATTTTTTGTTTGTTATAATTTTGTATATCCATGAGAAACATTCGTTTTTCTAGGTCACCGTTCCGTTATCATAAATGGATCGTTAACTACGCAGTCCATAGTATTTGTTGTGTTTTTTTATTTTCGTAGACACATTTCAAACAATTTGTTATTTTACAGCAAGATGTTTAAATTTAGCTTGTTTAGACTAAAGTGAATCATCTCTTTCAGCGCAACCAAATGACATGACTTTTTGTTTGTGCATTTTTCGGTCTTCGAAACGCATTTTCCTTATACGTCGCAATGAGTATTGAAATTAATTGTCAAAACAAAAGATCAATAATTTGGGTGATATGTGCGTATCACAGCAATTACTGCAAATGCATTACTTAGTTCTAGATTATTCATCAATAAGCATTAAATATATTTGTTAATTGTTTTTGTTTGTTAATTTTGAACATTTTTTTTGAGCCATCTGTCATAATAAACAATAAAATAATTTTGATGACAAAAACTGAAATTAAATTTTCAATTTTTTTTGTTAATATAACAATAAGTTAGATAAAAGAAATATGACTATATCAGTGTCTAATAGGAAATGAATTTATAATCAAATTGATAATTGATATTCAATTTTTAGTAATATGAAGCATTCTGATACTCAGTTATTCACATATTATGTATTTCGAGGTAAACGAATCACGATATTACTAAAAAAAAATTATAATTAAAATTTCTTAGAAAGCTTATGAATAGTTGCGCAATTTTATATTTATTATCTGTTGCCGGGTTTGCATAATTTATATTTCCTGTTAATTCGTGCGTTTATTTATCTGTATTATACAGATAAAACAATTAGGTATATTTATAAACAAAGATTAAAAAAATCAAAATAAAGAAACGTTTACTGCTCCATAATTAATAAAAGTTGACAACCTACTATTATTGTGAGCTTTTATCGAATTGTTAATATTTTAATAATGAATGTTGTAACGGATTTCGAAGTTCTCAATCGAAATGAATTACCTTGAATCTTGCTAGCACCGAGATATTTATATAATAAAATTATAAAATTTAAACCGCATGGTTGGTATTCCCATTGAATATCTCGCTTTATCGAAGGAAATGAATAGATATAAAATTACATTCTCTTTTGAGGAACTAAATCATATGAGCTTGAGTTCAAAGTGAGTTCATGAATCATATACGACTTGAGTTGTGTTATGGTCACATGTTGCATATTGTGAGATCATATCTTGAACTTGAAAACGTACTAATGCCAAGCCATTTTTATAATTATATTTTTTTTTATTGAATATTGTAATAAATAAATCAGTCTTTCTTATAATTAGAGATTATTAATGATAAAAGAAAATAGAATAACTGCAAGTGTTTCAATTGTATTAATCAGTGTAATTTCAATTTTTTGTTATATGACTGCCTTAAATTAAACATCACTCGTCTATACACAATTGTCGTATCATGAGTAATTTCTGTTGCTTATTGTAAATATATGAATATTGAAATTCAGCAATGTTTTAAATTATTTTCGAAGAAATTTAAAAAATATATATATTTATAATGTATTCGTACTTTAAACAATGAGTTTATAAAGTTAAATTATGAATCTCAATTGCACATAGTGATACACAGTGACCTCGAATTGTATAGCTCATAATAGGTGTTCTGATAATAACAAATATTCTATTTGTTTTTGTATATTTAGGGAAAAATAAAATATTTGTAGCATAGAAACAAAATATAACAATGAAAGTCTGTTCCTACTATTTATTTTTGTATCTTAATTATATATTTGACTACTGTTAATTATGACAATGGTGGCTGCTTAATGTTTTTCATGTGTATGGCGAAAAGGAACGTTGCGGCAATACTTATACACGTGCCACCGAAATAGAATGAATATTTGTAATCTCCTGTCACATCTCGCAGAAAACCAGAAAGGGTGATTCCTGTGAACGTACCGAATCCCTGGAACATCATAATCATTCCTATAGCATTAGTCAATTTATCTAATCCTAGCATGTCGACTATGATGAGAGTCCGGAGAGCCGACATGGAAGCTGCAAGCGCAATATTAATAAATCAATATTAGCAATCTTTTCTTGCATTTACACAAGGTAAATCCGTACACTGCGCAGTAGAGGTATAACGCCCAATGCTCGTAACTGATTGTCGAAAGTATTGTAGAGATTCCGCCTATAAAAAGCAGCACGTATGCAAGTACTATGGCTTTGACATTAGGTATTGAGCATAAAATGCCGCAACTTATTCGACCCAGTGTATTGGTAAATCCCATTGTAGAAATTAACCAAAATGCAGTTTCTTTGTCGCTTCCATGCTCTATGGCAGAATCTTTAACGAATATGTAAGGAGTGTAAAAACCGAGAGAGATAAATGCTCCGTTGAACACCAGTAATATAAAGTTGACCGATTTCAGAAGCCTGAAATCTAGCATGGTAGCGATTGTTCTTTTTACAGCTATTGGACAACACTTGAATTTCTTTTCTTGTTGCTCTTCGTGCGTTGAGGTGCGCGTAACTGATAGCTGATACTCAAAGTTGATTCGCTGAAATAAGTACTTAATGTTTATAGTACTCTAAAATAATTGATTGTTTTGGGAGGAATAATAATTTAGCCAACTTACTGAATCAGGTGGCATTCTTGTCATTTGGGACAGTTTATATTCGGGTAAAGTTTTAACCGATCCAGTAAAGAATATATCATCCCTATAAATGGGTCTATCATTGTAACGAAACCTCTTCAGCTTGCAGCAATTTTTCGGACAGCAGCGACATCTTCTATTGTCCCCTTCTTCTATTTCGATGACTTCCCTTTTAGGCTCATTTTCTTCATCATCGAAAATAGATGTTACAGCTTTGTAGCTGGTATTGGGACTACTTTGTGGGTAGTTTGTTACAACTATTTCGGTGGAGGACTTTTTATTAAACTTGCTAGGTTCCAAAACTGTGACTAACGATATTTTATCGTCCACTAATTTTCCATATCCACTGTTACTGTATTTGGAGAAAAAACTATTATTGTTTCTTTGAGTTTGTGGAGTTGATTCACGCATTACGACTATACGGGTAGGTCGTATTGGTTTGAATAGCAGAGCAAATAGTGTTATTGTTAAAGTCATTGCACTCAGTACACAAAATGCATATCTCCAGCCAACTTTATTTAAAAGTATAGTGATAACAGGCGGTAAGACCATTCCTCCTATACCGGCACCACAAACTGCAATTCCCGTGGCAAGAGCTCTCCATTTCTCGAAATAGAATCCCACTACGATAATGGCTGTTATATAAATCATACCAAATCCGATTCCTCCCAAAACTCCATGAATTGCAATCACCATGTTAATGTTTATACTAAATGATGTTAGTAGACATGAAATGGATGCTATAATGCTTCCTGATATAGAAACGAATCTATAACCGTATTTGTTTACCAGCGCCGCAGAAAAGGGACCTACAATGTGCGATGTTGAATATTAAATAATTAATGCATGGATCAATAAATTTGTACCTGAAAAACAGAACATGCATGTATTCACTGCTCCAGCCAAAGACACTTTGCTCTCTGAACATTTTAGAGTCCTCGATATATCTTTTAAAAATATTCCATAACTATAAAGTAATCCGTCCGATACAAAATATGAGAAAAAGGCTCCCAATACCACAGCCCAACCCCATCCACCGTCTGGTGGCAAAATCAACCAAACGGTTTCCGTTCGATTTGATTTTATTGATTTTGTACTAGGAGACATTACAAATTGACAACTCTTGTCAATTAGAATGGCCGTAACACATCAACAGTGCATAGCACGCCATCTATATCAATATTTAATTGAACAATAAACTTTGTATTAAACAATAATCAATATATTTCATTGATTCCAGTTCAACTATCTAAATGATAGTCACAAACATTTAATGGTCCATTGGGTTGGAGAAGGAAGCAATGTTATCATTTGTTTGTCCCGTGATCCATCCACAAAGTCTGCCAACAGCGTAGTGAATCCTTCTGCCGTTTATATTTCGTATGATTATGGCGAAAATTATATCAATAAAACAGATCAATTCATTCTACCCGACGGAAATATCTCCACAGTCGAAAAGTTCTACAATCATCCGAAGTATAATACACATGTAAGATTATTAGTTGTTGTGTATTTGTTATGAATATAAAAATAAATTTTATTTTCAGTTTGTTTTTACGGACTTGACGAATAAATATCTATTTGTGACTTCGAATTATGGTAGGAACATAACGAGAATACATTTAAATTTCACACCTAGCGACGTTGTGTTCCATGAATATTTGTCACAAGTATTTTTGGTATGGGACAAAGAGGCTGGAAATGATAAGGTATATATTTACTTTTTATTTTCTTTCTTACTAAATTACTTTTGTATTTCAGCTTATGATTACTGACAATTTTGGAGAAACTTTCCGTCTTCTCACAGTATATGTAAAGTCCTTCTTTTTGATACAAGATAAAAAATCGCAGCAGCACTTAGTTGTTCAAAGAAAACAACCATCCGATACAACGGCTGTGTTTCACTCAACATCTTTCCACAAAGATTCAAATTTAAAATTGTATGCATCTGAAATTCAAGACGTTTATGTGAAAGGCGATTACATATTCTACACAAAAAAAAACACTAAAGATTCATTCGATTTGTTCGTATCTTACAAATTAGGAAAAATGGTGCAATGCTATTTTGATACTGAGCTAACGCTGAGAGAATTTCACGTGGCCGATGTTTCCGGAAACAGAGCTCTTATTGCTGTGAGTCACACAAATACATTATCTCATTTGTATGTTTCCGAAAATCTAGAGGAACATGGTGATAAAATACGTTTCACTCTATCTCTAGAGGGTATTTTATGCTATTTCCCAAATACTACTTGGAGAGATTCTTGGTTACAGTAAGTACACGTACTTATTTTGATGTTAACTTATTTTAATCTTCTTCATTTGAATAGCCATACCGATGAAGATGCATTTGCTGATTTATATAAGGTTGAAGGTCTCGAGGGTATTTACATTGCCTCTCAAGTTGCGCACAAAGTACAAAGCGGTTCCGTCAATTTGAATCCTCAGCACTTAGTTTCACGTATAACATTTGATCACGGCGCAACTTGGAGGCCAATTCTACCACCTCAACGTGATGTTCAAGGACAACTAATATCTTGTTCATTGGCAAATAATTGCTCTTTGCATCTAAGCCAGCGGTTCAGCTATTTGTATCCGGATACTAGATCAATTAGCATTTTAAGTAGCAAATCAGCACCTGGAATTATTGTAGCTACAGGAGTAATAGGAAAATCGTTGAAGGGTCATTTTGCTGTTTACATAAGTACCGATGCTGGAATAACTTGGCGACAAACCTTACGTGATCTGTATTTCTTTAACATGGGCGATCACGGCGGTTTGTTAACTGCAGTTAAATATTTGAAAATGCGAGGAGAAACCAGACACATTTTATATTCTACAGACGAGGGAGAGAATTGGATGGAAACTCCATTTAATAATGAAGAAATTAGATTATATGGATTAATGACCGAACCCGGTGAAAATACTACTGTATTCACCATGTTTGGTTCGCTCCCTCAACAACATCAGTGGATCATTGTAAAAATGGATTTGAAAAATGTATTCAAATATAATTGCAATGCTGTAAGAGAAAAATTGTTAAAATCTGTTGCAATTTTCTATATAATGTTCATACAATTTTAGGACGATTATAAGCTGTGGTCTCCTAGTCAAAGTGATGAAAATCGTAGATATGTTCCATGTGTTCTTGGTCAACAATTGACTTATAAACGTCGTATTCCGCATGCAAATTGTTACAATGGTTTAAATTTTGATAGACCAATCACTATGGAACCTTGCGAGTGCGATAGTCGCGATTATGAATGGTATATAATTAAATTTATTTACTTATAATATAAATAATAATATTTTTCCTTTCAGTGATTACGGGTTTATGAAATTAGGTAACGGAGGTCCATGTGTGCGTAATAAAAGTGTTGATAATATGTACGATATTCCGGAGCATTGTCCCCCAGGTCAAAGCTATAACCGTACAAAGGGATATAGGAAAATCGCAGGTGATAAATGCGTTAAGGGTTTCGAAAACCAATATTTACCGGATGTCATTATGTGTCCTGTGCAGAGTGTGCCGAATATATTGACTTACGCACAAAGAGATCGCATTGTTCGAATGAATCTGGGAACAAATACCAGTGTAGAACTGGAATTACAAAATTTGAACAATGTAATCGCTATTGATTATGATTTAATGACAAATCATCTATATTGGGCTGACATAGTATCCGATACAATAAGCAGAGTACATTTAAATGGTACATCTCAACAGGAAGTTTTAGTATCCAGCGATTTGGTTTCGGTGGAAGGAATGGCTTTGGATTGGGTTTCTAAAAATTTATATTTTGTGGATGGTCTTCGAGCGAAAATTGAACTAATTCGCACAGACATACATTATGCTGGTCGTATGCGAAGAACGATATTGAGCGGAAAAGATTTGACAAAGCCACGCGGCATTGCGTTGCATCCAGCTGCTGGATACATGTTTTGGACAGACTGGGCCAACGAGAAACCGTCTGTGAACAGAGCGAACTTGGATGGTACTAATATTCTGAAAATTGCCGAAAAACCTATTGTCGTTTGGCCAAACGGTATCACCATCGATTACATTGCCGAAAGAGTATATTGGGTTGATGCTAGAGAGGATTATATTGCAAGTTCAGATTACATCGGCGGAAAGTTTAAGAAAGTTCCAATTCCAAGTGAGTTCGTATCGCATCCGTTTGCCGTAGCTGTGTTTAAAGATGACCTGTACTGGGATGATTGGAAAAAGAATTCAATTTTCGTAACCGACAAAAATCATGGTGGAAAAGTAGGTACGTTGGTCGGCAATGTCCATGGATTGATGGATTTAACAGTGAGTGCCCATGGGGTGCAAATTGGCAAAAATCCATGCGCGAATAAAGAAAATTCGCCATGTGAGTTTATTTGCGTCGGAGCACCCAATGAACCGCATTATGTCTGCTTATGTCCGGATGGTATGGATTACAAGAATGGTAAATGTTTGTGTCCTGGAGGCGCTCCACCGTTCATGAATATGACATGCCCAAAAATTACCGGTACCTGTTCAACTGATCATTTTGAATGCGGCAATGGTGTGTGCATACCGAAATTATGGCGTTGCGATCGGGAAGATGATTGTGGTGATAACTCCGATGAATTGCAATGTGGAACACAGACATGTCCATCAAATTATTTTCTCTGCAACGATGGGAAATGTTTACCTCATTATTGGCGGTAATATATTTTCAGTGTTGATCGTTATGTATGCAGTATTATCATTATTTCTATTTTTAGTTGCGATTATGAGAAGGACTGTGTAGATGGCTCCGATGAACGGAATTGTCCAAAAGATAATTGTACACAGGATCAATTTGCCTGCGGGAATGGTAAATGTATATCAGACAGGTGGAAGTGCGACGGCGAAAATGACTGTGGTGATGATACCGATGAACGGGATTGCGCTGGCCCAGAACCAACTACATGCAAAGGTTTTTATAATGTACACCCATTAATCAGCTGCATTATATCATATGTTTTCTTATAGCTGACGAATTCCGTTGCACAACTGGTGGAATTAATTGCATCCCTAATACTTGGCTTTGCGACGGAGAAAATGATTGTAAAGATAATTCAGATGAGCTCAATTGCAAAAACAACACTTGTATGAATTTCCAATTCTCGTGCGGTGAAAATATTTGTATTTATTCTTCGTGGGTTTGTGATGGCGAAAATGATTGTGCTAATGGAGCTGACGAAAAGAACTGCACTTCATCCCCATCAACACCTCCAATTGACGTTAAAGACTATTTTTTGCCAGTAAAACATTATTCTAATTAGTAGTGCAATATTTTTTTTAAATATTTATATTTTTAGAAACAGGCGAATGGAAAATGTCAGGATTGGATGTTCACATGTGCCAATAATAAATGTATACCAATATGGTGGAAATGTGATGGAGCTAATGACTGCGACGATGAAAGTGATGAGCAAGGATGCGGCGCAACGACAAAACAACCACCCCCCATTGAAATACCGGACATAAAAGATAAGGAAGTTTCTAATTGCGACAATAATAAATTCCAATGCGCTTCCGGTGCGTGCATTGCACTATCGTGGGTTTGTGATGATTCCCCGGATTGTTTGGATGGTGAGGATGAAGCACATTGCGAGCAGTCCGTCCCATGCGACAGATCTAAACATTTCAAATGCAAAATCGACGGAAATTGTATTCCAGTAAGTAAATACTTGCTAAATCGTAGTAATTATTAACTTTTATATTTAATTAGTTGTCCTCCGTTTGTAATGGTATATCTGACTGTCCCGATGGATCTGATGAAGAATATTGTTCGCCTTGGGATAATTCACCTAGTGGACCAGCTACACCCAGCTGTTCGATCGGTTATTTCCCATGCGACATAAATCGCTGTTTCCCATTGGCATCAATATGTGATGGTAAGAACGACTGCGAGGACGGTTTCGATGAGAAGAAAGATTGCTCCAAATTGTCGAGGGTATATCAAGTACTGCAGATGGGAGTCGATGAGCGTGGTATAAACGCAACCACTTTACTTCTGTATTGGTGGATTATGATACCTGATAAAGTACAATTGGAATTTTTACCGTCAATAAGTTCTGTTGATAATCATGGAAACATAATATGGACAAACCAAACTTGGACTAATCATTCGGAATACCGTTTTGATAATCTGAAACCATTTACCAAGTATAACATGACCGTGTATGTGAGATTGTTAAACACGGAAACGGTCTTTCCTCCAGCAAAATACTTTATAGCAGTCACTGGAGAAGGCATTCCAAGTCCTCCGTGGAATGTAACCGTTAAACAAAATGGTTTAGACGTCTTAATAACATGGAATAAACCGCTAACTCCGAATGGATTGATTCAAAAATACGAAATTTGTTGGTCACCTCCGTTTATTTCAATGCGTCTTAGCGATAACAGTACAACGCATCTTCTCACTGCAGATTTCCAACCACAAATTAAATATTCATTCTACGTAAGTTACGGTTTTTATTCTATTATTTAATATATTTGATAATTGTTTATTTTTGTTTAGGTGATCGCCTATAACAGGATGAGAGAAAGTGAACGTTCCGACATTAAAACATTGCTCTTCGGCGAGTCAGATATGGAATATGTAAGATTATTGCAAACTGTATCAAAGACTGATAATTCTGTAAGTCTCGCATGGATCTACAATGATACTGCTGTAGAAGGTTTCAATGTTGAAGTAGAAGTAGTTGGATTTCCTTATCCAGCTATGCCAGCTTATACAACAACTACAAATAACATAACAATAGGCGGACTTCCTCCTGGCACAATGTTCAGGTTTAAAGTAAGTGCATTCAGGAAATTGTACAGGGGACCGGAACGTACTATCACATCCAGAACCGACGGATCCCCGTTGGTAGCACCACATCTTCTGGAGGTTACAGTCCTTAAAGATGTCGGCACATCCGTTAAATTGAGGTGGGACAGACCGAAAGACTCTAGGAAAATAAATTGGCTTTACGGAGTATACTATGGTCTAACGGAAGAAGAAACTTTGGAAAATCATCGCTACAATACAACCGAATTAACTGCAACGATAACAAACTTGGAAGCTTGCGAAAAATATATATTTGCGGTAGGTGTTATTTCGCCAATGGGCATCGGTCCTGTCTCCAGCGAAACCATGTCCGTTACTACATTCCTTAACAAACGTGCTCCGCCTAAAAAGGTAAGTGTACATCAGCTTTCTGAAGACAGTCCATTGAAGATGTTGGTGCAATGGTCACCATCTTGTCCTGCAATGAATCACCCAATCGGGTATAAAATGAATATAACTGAATTAACCAGAGGCAAATCCACCATTGTAACTTTTGCTGAAACAGATTGGCAAGAGCAAAGCCGCATGTTCGATGTTACATATGGCGGAGTTTACGAAATTAAAGTTGCTACCTCAGTTAAGGGTGCGAAATACTCTGCACCCATATATTACAGGGCTCCGCCAATTTTACCACCATATGAGATCAATGTGATCCCAGAAGCGAATGGAAGCTACATAGTATTTTGGCAGGAACGACTATTACACAAAGATCTAAACACTCCTTATGGTTATGAAGTGTTGGTATGTGAAGGAAATGAAATGAACGAGGCGAAAGCCGACCATTACAAAGCTGATAAACCGCCTTTCGTCTTTAATAATGCCACCGCTTTGATGTACACATTCGCTGTACTACTTAGAACTGAAGATGGTTATAAATCCAACATTTCCGAATCAGCCAGCTCTATTAATAAAATAGTATCGGCATCTAGTGTGTCCGGCGGCAGTGTAGTGTCATTCGTCGTGCCAGTGGTATTATTACTCTGGGTTTTAGGAGCCGCTCTTTCTTTCTATGTCATTAAATATAAGAGATTGCAGAATAGCTTTACTAGATTCGCAAATTCCCACTATGATACTAGATCTGAAAACGCCACTTTTGATGATAATGGTTTAGATGAGGACGATAGTCCACAAATTCGTGGCTTCTCCGACGATGAGCCTCTAGTTATAGCTTAAGAGTTACCATCTAATATATATATAACATGAGCCAGTTTAATCCCGTTTTATTAAATTAATTAAAAAAAACAATGATGTGAGTATTCCAAATATAAGTAGTTTTAACTAGTCTTGACGTTATAATAGTAGAAATAGTAATATATTCAATAAATCTTCCTTTATAATTAATTGAATTAATTTATAGGAGTGTAAAAACTTTAAGATGAGTATTTAAGTCAAATTTCTGTGATAGATTTCTAATGATAATTTTTTTTTGTAATTTAATTTTTTATATACTTTTATTATAGTTGGGAATTTGACTGGGATTATTTTATTTTGTGTATTGAATTATTAAATAAATGTGTGTATATAAAAAAAAACGATTGCATTTTATTTCAATTTTAAACACATCCAATTGACCGATTCCTGATTCTCCACAGTGTAATAAGGCAGGTGCCAGTAACCATCAACTTTCTGGGTTGTTTCGACATAAGGTAACGGTTTCTAAAACAACGAATTACTATAGCTTTTGAAGTGCAAATTACGTTCATTATGTACCTTTATTATAACGTCGCCGTTATCCAAAACTTTGACGAGCTGATGCTGCGATTGAGTTAACCACCTTGTGAACAGCCGTTTATGATGATTTTCTTTAAGCAAATATACGTGGCTTCTCATCAGATCCCTACTAACAATGATTGCGTTCGATCCGGCGTGCAAGGCACAGTAAAGCAAATACGGATCATCTTTGGAAATGTTTTGCGTCAGAAATATCTCGGCATTGGCACGTATAAAGTCAAAATACTTCTTAGGCCATCTTTCCATGTGGGTTCTACCTAGTACCAAGACTTTTTTATTCTGTTCGATGTAATAACGAACTACCGATGAAAGCTTCAATTAGGATTAATCAAAACAGTGAATATAAAATGTTTGCATTATCAATTACCAAATGGGCATTTACGAACGCTGAGGTTTTCGTGCCCGCAGAGTAAGCAACATTTAAACCGTCGATTACCACATCGTAATTAATGTTTTTGTTCATCATTTTTTGGAAAAGTTGCAGCTCGGATGGTGAAGTATTTCTAAAAACGTCTTTTCCAACAATAACTCTTTCGAATATCTTCGATTTAAGAACATCAAATTCCTCGTCGGACAAATCGATCCGTGGTATCACTTTCTTGCATCCAGTGCATAAACCTCTAAAAATTATTGCGTTAAAACTAATCGATGAAAATTACATAAACATACTTTTGAGTGATTTTCACAAATTTAGTTTCCTGGAAATATTTCCGTAAATTTTGAATCAATTCCCAGTCACATATCAAATCATTATCTCCAAGAAACTCAAATAATTTTTCTAAGCTTATGCTTTTATCTTCTATACATTTATCAATGTATGCTATGTAACACATATTGTTTGGTTTCCTGTTTTTCTCTGCAACAAAATAATTAGATAATTTAAGAAACTGTAACAATAGTTTAATTTACATCATACAGTTATGAATTAATTTACATACCAAGCATTTCATTCAACAAATTCCAAGCATAATCAAATTGACCATTTTGAAAAGCAGCTTTAACTGTGCAGCTGTAAGCTATTGAATTTGGAACACATGTTAATTTGATTTCATTTAGAATATCTTTGCAGATTTCCCATTTATCAGTTACAGAGAGGCCCATGATAACATGTTCATTTGTTATTGAATCTAGAGTTCCATATTTTCCTTTCACTTGTTCATACCTACAATATAACATTTATTATATTTATTCAAACTAATTAGTTTTTAAACTAACATAGCATATAGTGTTTCATGTGTGTTTCTTTTACTATCCTTACCCTTAGATTCATTCTGTGTACAAAAATTAAGTTTGAATATTTTACCAATTGTAGCTAAATTATATTCAACACCTGACTTCTTCAGGTATTCTAAATAATTCTCAGCTAAGTCATAGTGTTTATAATTAATACAATTTGTAAGCACCACTGCATCAATATTTGATGGTTTAATAGTATTAAAATCATTGAAAATTTTATTTTTTACTACTTCCCAATCTTCTGATGTTGTTATTTTTGTAGAGGTTAAAGTGCTTATTATGCTTTCAGGATTTCTTCTTTCTCTGACAAATGCATATTGCCTTTTATATACATTTAATAACACACCACTCTTAAAACTTCTAGCAAAAACACTTCTAAACATTTTAAACTATTTTAATCCTATTTATGTAGTAATTTTTCTACCAATGAATGTATTTTAAGGTTAGTTAATAAATAAACAACTTAATTGCCTGATATTACATCAAATTGCTTTAATATTAATAAAAAATCAAAATTATTAAAATATTAGATCACAAATACAATTTCTAACAAGTATAATTTTTAGTAAATGTAATTTTAATTTCAAATATTTTAAATTTTTAATGTTGGCATTCTGAACTCTTCACGTAAACCAATTGGTAAATACAGTGATACCTTTTGAACAATTTTACATGTGCTTGAATGAGGTTAAGTAATATTTAAGTTGATTTTATACAAACAATAAAGTTATTAAAAATGAAGATGTTGAAAGCTGATCAAAAACTACATGATTCCAAAGTCAAAGAACGGAAGAAGAATATTGTAAGTGTATAAATATAAGTGGATAAAACCAATTACTTTAAATATTTATTTAGATTTCAGGTAGCAAAGTTAAGAAGTCAAAGAAAGTTCAATCTCAAAATGCAAAACAGCAGGAGAATAATATTCTCAATGTATGTAAAGCTCAAATAATGATTTTAGTAGTGAATAATCTTTGTTTTGCAGTCTATCAACAATACATGTAATAGAGGTGCTAGTGGATATTTTGTAAGATATGAAGGAACAAGCAATAATGACAATTTAAAGGAAGAAGTAAAGCCACTGAAAAGTAATGAGAAAACAAAAAATAGCAATAATGTAAAGGCTGTTCAAAAACCTCTGAAAAGTGATACTATTAAAAGTAACCAAACTAATGAGAAAACAAAGAAGAAAGTTTTAAAGAAACCTGCTGTTAATGTTAAAATGACCAATGAAAGACAATTCACTGGCAATTTTTTTAAAGCATGTGAGTTAAACTCTAAGGTAACTGGTTATACCATCAAAATGGCACATGGCAACAAATAAATTTATTTGCTTTATTTTAGATGATTAAAAATGGATTACTTGTACTTGGATGTGTGATTGAAATTACAGAAACTTATTGTACAATTAGCATACTTGATGCATTCAAGGCTAAGCTTGCTTATGAAAATGTAAGATACCTTAATGTTTTAATAATATTTCCTTAAAACTAATTTTTTACAGGGACAAGTTTTTAAAGTAGGAGAGTATATTCCAGTACGAGTAATAAAAAATATGAATGGAATTGAAGTGACAACTAATCCCAAAGAAATCAATGAATTTGTTAACTTAACAGATGGAGCAATAGTTTGGGGGAAGATATCTAAAAAGACAGATAAGGCTTATATTGTAGATATTGGATTATCCAAAAAAGCCAAATTGCCACTTTCAAAAGTTAATGATAACAATTTAGGTAAATAATATCTAATAACATGTAACAGGAAGCAGTTTCAAAATATTTTATTTTTAGACATAGGCCAATCAATGTATGTCAAGTGTGAAAAGATTATTGATTCTAAAGTAGAATTAACTATTTGCAAAGAATCATCTAATTGTTCAATGAAGAAAGCAGATTATTTAATTCCTGGAACTGTCTTAAATTTTACTGCTGAGAAGGTAAATACTGACTGCTTTGAACTACTTTTATTTATAACTACTTTTTCAGGCCTTTGGTATCTGGTTAAGAGGAAGCGTTTTTGAAAATAGTATAGCGTACATTCATAAAAAATATCTGACAACATTCCTTAATAAATATACTATTGGGGAAGAGTTTTTGGCAACCGTGCTGTTTGTTGATCCACTAAGTAAAGTTATTTATTTGTCGAAGAAATCTACAGAATTAAAAACGCCAAAAGAATTTGAACAGAAGCAGTATAGAGCGAAAGTATTGAAAAAGGTCGAAGGTGGAGTTTCGGTTGCTTTTCATGGCGTCTCTGGCTTAATAAAAGATTTTGTACCCAATTTGTATAGTTTGATAGGGAAACTAGTTAATATTGAAGTGATAGAATATCTTTATTTCGAAAATGTATTTTCTTGTAAAATGGTGGAACAAAAAGAGAAGTGAGCATAAATATCACAACGCATGAATGTGAATAAAAATATTTTTCTTTATAGGGTTGTAAAGAGGAAAATTGAAAATGATGAATCCGCAGAAGAAACTAAAAAACATAAAATCGAAGAGGTAGACATGGATCATGGAAGTGATTCAGATTCCGAGAGCGACGTCGATGACGAGGAAGATAAAATTGATTTGAATTCATCGAGCAGTGAAAGCGAAGATGATGAAAAAACTGGTAATATCGATATTAATATAAGTATTTTTTATATTAATGGAATTTAATTTTAGGCCCAATTTTACCCGGTATTGGTACAATGCTTCAATCCAAAACCATTAAACAAGATCTTGTTGATCAATTAAGTTCTGATGACGAAGAAAAGGTTTATTATTTAGAATTATTATATATATATTTGCTAATTTTAATATTTTATTATAGGAGGAAACCGATGGAAAAAAGAAAAGGATGACGAAGGGACAAAAATTCAAAGCGGCGCGTGAAGAAGAATCTCGCTTAAGGGAGATTGAAATGGATTTGGCAGATTCTAGCAAGTTGCCTCAAAGTGCGGAACAATTTGATCGTGTACTTTTAGGATGTCCTGATAATTCGGAAATGTGGATTAGATATATAGCATTCCACATGCAGTCAACCGAGTTCGAAAAAGCACGAGCTGTCGCTAAGAGAGCTATTGAAAAGATTTCCTATACGGAAAACCAAGAGAAATTAAACATTTGGATAGCATACATGAACTTAGAAAACATGTATGGAACAAAAGAATCGTTCCAAAAAGTATTCAACGAAGCCTTGAAATTCAATGACGATCTTGTTATTTATATAGAAGCTATTAAAATGCTTGCTGATATGCAAAAATATGATGAGATGGAGGAGAATATACGAAAAGCAAAAGGAAAATTCAAACAAGATGTTAAAATGTGGTTGGAAATTGGCAAAGTTTATTACCAATGCAAACGATTCTCAGATGCGAGGTCTTTGAAAAATGCTGCTTTACTTACTTTATTGAATAAGAAAACACGTAAGATTATTCTTAATTACAGTATATTCAAACATTAATTTAACTTTAATTTCAGATTTGAACTTAATTGTTCAGTTTGCATTGATGGAATTTAACTTGGGCGAACAAGAGCAAGGTCAGGCTCTTTTTGAAACCATACTTCAAGCTGATCCAAAGCGAGTGGATGTGTGGAATACCTACGTAGATCAGTTGGTTAAAATTAACCAAATTGAATTAGCCAGGTAAAGCTGTGCATAATATATATATAATGATTTCATAAATTCTAATTTTGATAATCCTAGGGCCGTTTTGAAACGGGCAGTCGGCCAAAAGTTACGGTACAAATGTATGAAGTCACTTTTCAGGAAGTTCCACAACTTTGAGAAGTCTCATGGCACTGAAGAAAATGTAGAAGATGTTAAAAAATTGTTAGAAGAGTATACTGAAAAATAAATGTTTTTTTTTTTATTATTAATTTTAATATAAGCTGATCACTTCTATACATATATTACTTATGGACATTTAAAAATCATCGCAATTTAAATTCTCCTTTCATTTCTTATATAATATGGTTGAAATAATGAACACTTCTTGAAAATGTTCCGTTGTCCAATATAACATATAAATGTATATCCAAAATGCAACAATGGTTATGGAAGACTTTTAATACTCTCCGTTAGATGTCACAAGTAATTATTATTTTAGATGATATCCATAACGAGTTTTCTAAGTATGAATGAATTATTTACAACATTTGATCCGTTGTTATTTATTGCGTTTGATTGAATAAAGAAAGAAACTTCTTTTTTTTTCTAAATAAAATTGGCAACATTGCTCAACGCCATTTTGTCATTTGATTTGATGATCATTGACTGTGTTTGCTGCAATTTTTATATTCCATCCAGAACTTGATTACAATTTACTTATAATCTTAGCATAAACAACAATACTAGGTAACGTGCTTTAATAATGTGTCTTCTGTGTGACTGCATGTGAAAATATTTTACAAGTTCTATACCCAGTGATTTAATTGTGGACTGTCCTTACAAAAGAGTATCTATATTTACAGAAATGGCGGAAGATTTCGACGTAGAAGCTATGCTTGAAGCACCCTACAAAAAAGACGTAAGTTCGTTGATAAACTAGTTTAAAAATGAGTAGTGTATAGTGAATTTTACTTGGATGTTTCATTGCACGTAAATGAAGCGTCTTTCGGACGTGGCGTAGGCCCACTTGTATTGTACTTGTACATACATTTTTTAAAGAGAAAGAAAAGCAACTGAAAGCATTGCTTTCCTTTTCCTTAAAATATTATTATGTTTAGTGCTTTTCCTGTTCCTTAAAAAAATGAGACATGTGTGACTATTTTTTTTACATCACCTCCTAATTTTAATTTTAGACTAATGAGGTTAAAATCAGTCTTACGTCCAACGACTCGTGTTCCATGCAGGTACTGAATACATATAGTTTTAAGTTATTATTATTTTTATATTTTATTTTATTTTTTTCAATTGTATGAAACAATTCACAAAAAAAAGTACAGAAATCAATATTTTTTCTTTACATTTGTATTGCATAAATTGTGTTATGAAATAGCTGATCGGTAAATTTCTCGCCTAGGGTTGCCGAGGACTCACTAGATCCCGCTTGGTTCATCACACACGCCCGACAACACAAAATATTAGGGCTCACTTGAAACCCTAAATAAAAAGTGAGACGAGGTGGATTATACAAAATGTTATTTATTATTATTTTACTACAATTCAATATTTTTAAGTTTTTTTTTTCAACTAGTTGTGTTTTTCAAGTTTTTGTTTTGAGCAATAAGAAAAAACTTTAATAATATTGAAATTGAAAGGTCTCATGTGGTTGTCTCACCTCGTGTATTTTTTCAGAAGTTTTGATTGATTGAACTGGATCAAGTATACCCAGCACGTTCCTTACTTAGTCAGGACGACGGTAAGTCTAGTCCCGACTAGACATCGCGTGATTCCCAACAAAAATTAAAAACCAGCCTCACCTTTCTATTTCGCTCTCTCTAATCAAATTTATTTTGTTTTGCTGTTGTTTGCAGTTAATTATCGCAACACAACACGTCTGTTTAGTGTTGGGGTTTTTAACTGGGGTCGAAATGTACTTCAGCTAAGTCATGAGCTTGTTTTCGACGAGTCTTGGATATGTCGAAGGCAGGTTATTAGATATATTTAATATTTTTGGTATAGGTTAAGAATTTGTAAAGATTCAGTAATTAATGCTAATTTGTTTTCGCATCTGCGCTTCTCCCCCGTCTTCTTCACTTTGCTGTTGCTGTTCATAGGATGAACTAAATGGGAAATCCACTTCGCATAAGGAAAATGGAGACTCTCACAAACATCGCTCCTCCGAGTAAGAAATTACCAACATTGTTTCGAATATATCTTTACAAACTCATTTTTAATAGGAAGTCCGGTCGCAGAAGTAGAAGTCGCTCCAAGGAGAAGAAACGGAGTAAATCGCGAGACAGGAAAAGGAGCAGGGATAAGGATAGACGGAGGAGCAAGAGCCGCGACAGGAAACGGTCAAGAGACCGTAAGAGAAGCAAATCGCGCGATAAACGTTCCAAGTCTAGAGAAACCAGAAGAAATAGACGCGGTAGCAGAGATAAGCGTAGATCACGCACGCCACCATCAAGGAAACGCTCTCCATCACCACCTTCCGTCAAATTACCTTTCCCGAAAAAAGCTAGATCTCCTATTGGTTTAGGTTATAATCGAAGTGGTTCGCCTGGGGAGGAGCTTAGTCCAGAAGAAAGAGATGCCAGAACTGTGTTTGTAATGCAATTAAGTCAACGGATACGCAATAGAGACCTCGAAGATTTCTTCAGTTCTGTGGGCAAAGTAAGGGACGTAAGGATGATCACATGTAACAAAACGAGAAGATTTAAAGGCATCGCGTATATTGAATTTAAAGATCCAGAGAGCGTTGCTTTAGCTTTAGGTTTATCTGGGCAAAAGTTACTTGGTGTTCCAATAATTGTTCAACATACGCAAGCCGAAAAGAATCGCATGGGCAATGCTATGCCCAATTTAATGCCGAAAGGTATGACTGGTCCGATGAGACTATATGTTGGATCGCTTCATTTTAATATTACCGAAGAAATGCTCAGAGGAATTTTCGAACCATTCGGTAAAATTGACAATATTCAATTAATTATGGACCCCGAAACGGGTCGTTCTAAGGGATATGGATTTATTACAGTTAGTATTTGCGATTTATATCATTAAACAGTTAATTAATATTGATTTTTTAGTTCCACAATTGTGATGATGCTAAAAAGGCTTTAGAACAATTAAATGGATTTGAGTTGGCCGGTAGACCAATGAAAGTCGGAAATGTTACAGAAAGGTTGGATTTACAACAGCAAGGTCCATCACTATTGGATTCAGATGAATTGGATAGATCCGGTATAGATTTAGGGGCGACTGGTCGTCTTCAACTTATGTTCAAGTTAGCTGAAGGCGCAGGCATGCAGATTCCCGCACCAGCTGCTAATGCTCTTAGTATGGCAACAGGACAGCCAGTGGTTCCTCAAGTTCAATCGACAACTACACCTCCAATTGCAACCCAATGTTTTATGTTGAGTAATATGTTTGACCCATCAAGGTAACTAATCTATTTTTCTCTTTGATTTTAATTATTTTCATTATTTTTTTTCTTTTTCTCATTCGTTTTTAGTGAATCAAATCCGAATTGGGATATTGAAATTCGCGACGATGTAATAGAAGAATGCAACAAACACGGCGGTGTTTTGCATGTTTACGTTGATAAAGGATCGCCTCAAGGTAATGTTTATGTAAAATGTCCTTCGATCGCAACGGCTGTTGGATCAGTAAATACGTTACATGGTCGATGGTTTGCTGGCCGAGTAATTACAGCCGCTTACGTTCCTTTAATCAATTATCATTCTTTATTCCCTGATGCGATGTCTACTACTCAATTACTTTTACCTACGCGTAAATAATATAAAAGAAACCGGTGAATTTTTGATTTCATATTGTCTTCATAATTTAATTCTTTATTTTTGTTGTAAAAAGTAAAATTACATATTTTTTCCTTTATATTATCATTTTACATTACTCTCTAAGTCAAACTAATATACATCTACAATACTGGAAGTATAAACAATTACTTTGTAAAAAAATAACTTGTATAGTTTTTACTGAATTAACAATAAACTTTTATTATTTGATTATTAATTATATTTGTTGCTAATTATTTCAAAATTCATATTTTTGTATAAATAATTTGTGAATAGATTTTTATTAGAATTGTTAAATTGATTTGAGTATGGTTAATGGAGTAAATAAAATATGTATTTTTAAGTGTATTTTCGTAAATAATTTATAAAAATATATTTTCCCTATATTTTGCATATTATATTTGATAAAGTGTATTTATACAATTATAATAATATTATAACCATTATGGATTTAACATTTTACTACAACACTGTGTCTCAGATTTATTTCAAAACACAAATACCCAAATTTAATTATGACAAAAAGGTATAATTGAAATAAGAATAATCATTGGAGCAAATCAAATTTATTTAAAATGTATTGCATTGATTTTGTATTGAATCAAGCTATTATAAATAACACGACGGGATTCAAGATATGCAGATATGGCAAACATTATAATGAGCAATTTAATCAATTTATTAATCTCTAATAGGAAGATCCATGTTTCCTTGTGGTTCTTCATTGTCATAGTCATCATTTTCAACCATTGCAAAATCAACTTCTTGATTTACTTTTTTCATTTCATTGTTTGAGTTAAATACTTCAATCCTATCTTCATTCAATAAATTTCCTTCCTTCAGATCTTTACTATTAGTATCCTTTATGTCTTCAATAATTTGGTGAGGTGCAGGTACTACACCAGGAGGCAGAGGTTTTGCAGATGATGTTAATTTTTTGGTCTCAGGCGTTGCTGTTGGAGACTTCAGTGGCATAACAGCATTGTCAGGGGTGCTAGTATTAAATGGAGCTGCAGAACTTGGTTTTGCAAGAACAGCCTTTGACAGTTGATTTACATCATTTTTTGCTTTATTTGAATTTTCCACTGTATATTGTGAACCTCCAATAGATACAAGCTTATTAAAGTCTGTTGTTGTTATTTCTGTACGTGCTGTAGGTTTACTGGATTTGTCCTTTGCTGATTCCAATAATTTATCTTTTTCTCTCTGTAGCAATTCATTTTGTGTCTGCCAGAGAAAGAATTAGTTAAATTAAAAAAAAATAATTATTATCAATTATCAAATAGTTTACCTTTAAATGATTTATAGAATTTTCCTTCTCATTTTCAGCAAGTTTTAACTGCTCCTTCACTTCTTTCAATTTAGCTTGTAAATTATTTATTTCATCTAACTGTTCCTTTTGTATTTTACTAGATTCTTCCTTGAAATCGTCATGTTGAGTCTAAAATATACACTATAGAAATCTAAATGGAAATGTTTATATGCATCAATGTACCTGCAGCAGATTGAAATGTTGTTGAAGTGTTGAGAATCTCAATTTTGCTTCTTCAATAGTTTTGTCCCCTTTCAATTTTTCTTCATTCACTTTTAATTCCATTTCTGCTTTGATGCGATTGTAATCATTTTTTTCTGTTTTCAGAGACTTTTCCAACCTTTGCTTGTAGTCATATATCACTGAGATTTGGGTAGAATATTTAGTAATTATAGATTAAAGTTTTCATCATTAATTACCTTGCAATTGGGAGGATAGATTTTCTTGCTCCTGTCTGCACAGATCGAACAGTTTATGAGTTTCATCCAATTGGATTCTGACATTATTATAGCAGGCAATTAAGCCAGTAATAAAAAGAACAGCACAAATGTACAGAAAAACCCGAGCTTTAGTGCCCCTCACTATCCGTGAAGTAGTCATCACATTTGTTGTGTCAATTAAAATGCAGTGTTTGTAAATATTTTTCAATAATCAACATATAACCTATTCAGCGCTATTGACACATGAATGATTCTGAACTGAACCAATCTCCAAGAAAACAAACAACAGCAACTTGTGAACAACTTCATATGAAACCATATATAATCTTTGGAACTGAATACAACTTCCCACACATTCATTTTAAATTTGAATTGTTATAGATTTTATTTAAGAGAAATATTTATTTAAATTATTTATATAAGAGAAATTCCACCATTTTATATACATTACTTGGCTGATACTAAAGAGAAAATTTAATATTATTTTTTATTGGGGTATTGCTACTTCCCTCTTCGAAAATCCTTTATACATTTAGCTGAGTTCTTTCTGTACTAAAGCGTTGTTCGTAAGTCGGGGGAATTTTAAAATTTTCAAAGTATACTTATCTTACCACACTTTATCATGGTTTTTACTTTTATATATGTTAAATACCGTATTACTGTTTAAATTAAAAAAATAGATTAAAATAAACAAAATACTTACATACAAATACTATTCAATGTAGACATCACAATTATTTAATAAACAAATGACATAAGAAACGAAAGGAACAAAACAGATAGTACATCTTCCAAAAATATTATATTTCATTAAAGAAATGATCAATTTTTGTGTTTGAATTTTTTTATCACTGTATATCTCCTTGTAACAAGTTAGAGCTTTTACAATTTTGTTTGTAAGTCGGGGCATATCTATATTTGGAATGTTGTCCTATAATTTTATAGAGATGTGGATGGAGAATTCAAAATTTGCTAGTGCTTTATATACTTTAGGGCGGTTCTGTGGAAGTAATCTTTATTGATGTAGACAGGAATAATTGTATTCTAGTTGAAAAACAAGTCCCCAGTGTATTGGTTCTCCTTCTACACCTACTCTAAAGAAAAGATAAATTTTAAGAAAACATATCTTGAAATTTATAAAATTGTTAATATTAAAAAACGGGAAATCGAAAGCGTTCAAATTTTCTTTATTTCTTTTTACGGTCACAGATATGTTCAATAACGATAACAGTATAATAGTAATACAATATTGTATAATTTTTTTTTAACGACAGCTTGTAATTATTACTGGATTATTTAGGCGCTATTATATAATATAGTAGTAGACTGAATGAGTACTGGAGACGCTTCCAAAGAATGCAATATTAAATGTAAATGAATGTAGATTGAGAAAGTAGCGTGACTATATAAAAAAAAAACTCAAAATGATTGACAACATCAGGCCGTTTCAGATTAAAAATGACTTGTTCACTTGAGCGACGTCGCACGCTTTTTCTTTTTTCGAAAAACGATTTCAAGACAATTAAATACAATCGTAAATATTCAATCGTCCAAAAACGACATAAAATACTAAAAACAATACACGTTCCGTTATTAACATTTCCATTCGAATTCCTTACAAAGACACTAAAATTTATATCAATATATATATTAAATATATACGAGTCAATAATACTGTAAAAAAGCTATTATTTCCGAAAGCGATTTAAATTTACAATGAGGCATTTTCTGTCTAATACCATTCTAAACCTTGAAAGGGTAGTGAAGAAGATGCGAAAACTTCCACGTTTAAATGTTCCGATTCTTTTTTCTTCTATCTAAATAATTATATATTGACAGCTACCGTGTTTTTAGACAGCGGAAGTTTTCTTAAAAAATGATTTCGTTTACAACCGAAAAACTGATTATTTGAATGTTTCCAATTGAATGTGCTTAGTAAGTTTCCAACTATAACGATAAATTAACTTATATATTGTTACAAGTATATATATATTGTTTAAAGTTGAGTTTATCGTTATATTTCTTAGATTACCAACAAATTATAATACCAGACTATATTTACAAAATATACAGGGTCGTCATAACTATACTTTGTTCTCGAGATTATGATCTAATTTTTTCCATCTAAAAATTTCATCCTTAAACGTTCGTTATAATTTTAATATTCTATTCTGCGACATTACTAAAAATAAGAGGTATATAGATTTTCTGTTGTTACACGGTTCACCCTGTATATATAAAATTATAAAAATAAACTCTTCATTGTACAGCTACAGTCTACATAATTACTTTTAATTATTTTTTCTTTCGTATTTTTTTGTGTTTATTTAATTTTCACGACTTTTCCTAGAACTTAAGCGACATCAAAACGAGGGAACGAAACTCATTATATTCTTTTTTCGACATATCACACACAAACTTTTTATTATACCATGAAAGAGAGAGAATCCTATCCGATTAAAAACTAATAATAATAATAATAAATATTGGTGCGTTTAATATTTAGTTTCAATGCTGCTGTGGATTAAACTGGCGTGCCAAAATCGGGATTGCCTTCGCCGTCAGCGCTCAACGAATTCGAATTGTAAACGTATCTAGCTAAGAGTTTTTCTCTACGTTGTTCGTATTCCGAAATATTAACGGTTTCCTCATTGGGACAAAGGCGCAGTGCCTTGCCGACTCTTAGGTACCTCTTGGTACCCATCTTGCTTGTAGCAGCATTCGCGTCCGGAGTGTCTGGCGTTTGGAAATTTTTCATAAAAATGTCCGAGAGGAAATTGTGGATGTTCTCCTCGAACTGCGGACTTGTCTCCGTGATCGTTTTGTATTTGAATTTGGGTTCCTCCTCCTCTTCGCCCTCTGCCTCTTTGACTTCTTCTTTGGGTAATTCTTCTGGCACATCAGATGCGGCGCTTGAAATGTCCGAGTACCCGTCGTGCTTGTTGAATATGCTTTGAAGGGTTTTCACGCCGAAATACTTTTTAGTTTTGTACTTCTTCGATTTCTTGTAATCGCGAGATTGCTTGTGCACGGGGGAGCTATCACAGCTGGAATTCAATAGACTTTGATCACTTTTGGTGGTATCGTTCGAAGCGTATTCCTCTTCGTATTTAGCTTCTGGTATGTAAGTAAATTTCGTGATGTCCTTTGGCGATTGCGAATCGTTAGAGGCGACGTCCGTAGACAGAACTTCCGAATCCAAGAACATGTCGGTGCTGGTCTGCATTGGGGACGACAGGTTCTCAGAATTCAGCGAGTTGCTTGAGCAATTCAAGGTGTTATCGACTTTCTTATAATTGTCGTTGAGATTGTCTAGAAGTATTAAATCGCCGTTTGAGAACTTTGAAGTGTTCCTATTGATTTCGTTGTTGGCATCTAGGTAATGCATCTCGTTACCCGTTAAGATGTCATTGGAGTTGTTGAAGTTCGTTTGCAACGAATCGATTACCTTTTGGATTTCCGGCGACACTTGAAACTGCTTTGCCGGATCCTCCGACATTGTCAAAGCGCCGTCAGTGATTATGCGCGATGTACCTCTAAAAATCCCACATTTTTTATTTAAACAAAATCAATAAATAAATACTCCAATAGTGTTCTATTTAAATAAAACAAAATTACTTACATTTAAATTAGAAGCAAAAGCAAACATGCCGTGAATTGAGCAAACGAAAAAGAATAATAGAAAAGAAAAAATAAACAAATACGTAAACAATTTAAAAAATAATAATTATTATTATCAACTGAAAGGTTCACACATAAATTTTCATAAAATAATAACAGTTTATATATAATATATACAACAATAATCTTAAAGTTATATGGTCATAATATGTATATTTTAATCCACAATTTTGTAACAGTACACAAAACAAACATAGTAGATGAGATCTCCGAAACAATTTTGCTTTATTTTTTTATCACAATATTAAAAATGACGCAACGTTGAATTGAACAACGTTGAAGCATTGTATAAATAAAAAGTCAAATAATAATAATTCAAATAAAAATACGATATATGTATAACACATGCAGAATCTCATGCTAAAATAAAAGTAAACCATGTGCGTATACTGTATATATAAATATGTAAAACATAATATAGATAAAATATAGTAAAATGACTCTCCAGAGATTCATTAAATCTAGACTCACCCACTCTGACATGTGGATTCTGGAGTTCTAGGCGCAGTTGGCGTATTTATTATAGCTGGATTAGAAGGCAGCGTGTTAATACCGTCATTTGAATCGCACACTTCTCCGTCGAAAAATCTAAATAAATTACAATGACGAATTTAAAATCAATATTTATACAATGTAAACATCTAACTAATTAACGTTGATGCAAGAAATACTATTTTTCCAAATCAATCTAATATGGATGGATGGAAAAAAATAGAAAAAAGTTATACATGCGAACGATTTGTTCTTGCGTAACCAACAATGGGATTTTTCGTCAAAATTAAAGTCCTGCTCAAAAAAATAAAATTGTTGATTAGATACGGAAGGTGATGACTAGTAATACAATGTAGATCTACAATAAATTACTTGTGATTGAATCAGAAACAAGGGTGTGCACTTTATATATGGGATAGGTTAATTACCTAAAATGGAATCCCTCCTCTTCGAGGGAATTATCACTATCGTCAACTGCGATGTATTGGACTTGCAATCTACATTCTTCGCTGTTCTGCTTGAGAATGTCCACAGCCTCTTTGTGACAGGCTTGCCGAAGATCCCGCTCGTTCACTGACAAAATGGCATCACCGATGTAGAGCTGGCCCGAAACGGCTGCCGGTCCGTTTGGTTCCAACTCGGATATTAGAATCGGAACCCCGTGCTCTCTGCCACCCTGAATTGTCAACAAATTAGTATCGTTCAGGATTTAAGAAGATGTAGATTATTACCGTGATGCTAATTCCTAAGCCCTGACCAGGTTTCCTCTTGACCACGACGGTCCGTACATCGCCAAAGTTCTCCGTCCTCTCGGCGATTGACGGAATGACGACTTCCGAGTTCACCTTAATGCCGTTATTCTTGTCTGAACCATTCATAACACTGTTCCTTCGGCACTCGCGAACAACCGTTTTATGCCGCTGCAATAAAATTTCGGATTCTAATTGACGCCACAATTTATCCCTAACGTCGCCCCGCATTTCCCTTCCTAAACAAAACACAAATAGGTACGTAAGATAAAAAAAATACAATCTGAAATCAATTAATTACCCAGCAATTGCAGCTGCTGTATTCTACCGGCGAGTTCCTTGTCCAAATATTTTGCGGCCAATTTGGCACCGTAAACCTCGCTGTTTAAGGCGAGAACGTTGTTCCTCAGAGTCACATTCTCTGCATGGAGTTGACCGTTCTCCGCTCGCAACTTTTTCAACTCGACGGTGGACTCGTTGAACTCGATATCATCTACGTCCGTCGAATTATTGCTACCTGTTTCAAGTTAAAACATATATTCAATTAACAGTGACTTTAATTGCCAGATTCTTACATTTCATGTGACTAGGGCTTCGTCGAATTTCATCCTCCAACTTTCGCTTGATGTTGTTCACATCCGGTTTGAAGTTGGGGTCCTGCTTGAAATTGCCGTTGGGTTTCGGTAACTTCGATAGCTGATTCGAATGCAACTGCAGCAGTAAATTGTGCAACTCTTGTTCCAAAATCTCGCGCCTCGATTTCGACTCGACTAATTCAGCACGCATATGAATCAGTTCGGCCTGCAACATAAAAAAAAACAATTCTGGTTTACAACTAATTCTAATTAAGATGCATCAAACGCAAAATGTAATCGCATACGTAAATTCCAACGAGCAGCGTGATTCATTACCAAGTTTTTCTTTTATTTTATAAATTATTACAATTAATGTAAACCATTCATAATTATTATTAATTTATTTGCTATTAATGTAATTTTTCAAAAACATCCTTCTCGGTTTCATGCACACTCCTGTTTATGTCCTTGATTGTGGAAGAAGGCCGGAAAAAAGTTTCCCACGAAATCTGCCTCAATGCTCGCCGATTCAATGATAACGCAATTGTATATATAGCGGATATTAAAAAAATTGCAGATCGCAAAATCATCACGTTCCTGGCTGACGAAACACAGACAAGAAAATAAACACTTGAAACGACGTCGGGACACTCGCACTCTGGAAGATCTATTTTTAATTATTTTAATCACTTCTTAATCCATGAATTAAATCGTGTGAGATTTAGTTATATTGGTCTTTCCCCCTAGTTTTATGAACATTATCGGTTAAGACTGTCTGGTTAATGTAAACGAAGATTTGTAAATATTGATTTGGATTATCGAAACCAATGTATGCATATATGAAATGATAACTTTACAAGTAAACTGCGTACTGTTCAAAAGAAGAAAAAGAAAACGAAGATTCCCAGCATTTAAATTGAGAAGTCTGTGAATGCAGAACTCGAAAATGGGTTGTGTGTCCAAGCTGAGAGTAACATTTTTTCGTTAGCACTGCATGTATAATGTCGTTGGCAATTTGTACTTTCTTCAATAAAACGAATGTTTAATATATAAGTAAGTGCGGTAAGTAGAGTTAGTCATTAAGCATCGAGTACTTGAGTGTGGAGCACAACTGGGTTCTGTGTTCGAAAACCTACCGCAAACGAAGCCGACTTGATCCGGCGATAACTCAACGCATTCAATCGGGATTTATTATTATTGCGCTTCCTGGACAACAACCACACTCCATACAAGAACAATACACTTTAGTAAAAACGTACACTTGAAACATGCTATTCTTTACCGTGGCGAGCACGTTGTGCTTTTATCTATCTGCAGCTTCTCATCAGCAACCAAAGAAAACGGCCAATGTGCTTAACAACAGTCAACAGGTGAGCCATCTCATAAAAAATCTATTACTAATTATGATTAATATTTTTAAAAAACGCATTATCAACATCCTAATGTTCGCTTCATATATACAGTTATGTATATTAACATGTTTTTGTATTAAATTGTAGTTTATAATCTTCATTTATGAACTATTAAAATAAATGTAAACTAAAACAAAATATGTAATATATTACATTATTAAAACATATTTATAGTTATGTTTAATTAATTTCAAATAAAAAGCAAAAATTAAAGAGTTATTATTATTACAAAGGGCTTATTTAAAAATATTTTGTATTTTTCTTTCCTAATAAAATGTTTCTCTAGATATTAAATTATGTTTTAATTACTATAGACATGTGATTTATTTGTAGAACATTCACAACATATTAGTATCCATTGAGGAGAGGCTCCGGAATTTGGATAATGCTCTGTATACGGATTCGTACGAACTGACGACAAAACCGGAACAAACGAATAACCGGAAATTGGATGCAATAGAGTCGCGGCTGGCGAGGTTCGAGGCGGTGGTTGCAGCACAATTCGATAAATTCGCAGAGAACATGAGCAACAAGGTTTTCAGCGATGATTTAGCGAGGGATCATGTCCACCGGAAAATCGATGGGAACTACGATAGGATAAATCATCGCCTGTTCTATTTGGAAATGCGTTTGGACAGTGGTGAAAAGAGAATTTCTGTAAGTATACAGTCCAAGTATACATAAGCTTATCCATACGATATGTTTATCAATTTAACTATTCTATGTTATATCAATTATTTAAAAAGTAACAACGATTTAAAAAAAAAGATTTATAGTATACTTTTTTTAATTTTTTATCTAGGAAAAATTAGATCTACTCTTAACAAGATTTAAGAATATGGAAGAGACTTTGACGACTCGTGAAGCAGATATCGAAGTTGAAATATCAGACGTTCTTTCCGTGGTTGATGACATAAAGACTACATTCACAAGTTTAGACTTCAAGAACATTTCAAAAACGTTTAAGGTGAGTTGTGTAATTTCTCAGTAATTTTACTAACACGTGCTTTTGGATAGACGACGCAACGATCACTGGAACGCACATTGAATGAGTCGATTAAAGAGATTAGCAAGAAAGAAAATGCGCTGGCCGAAAGTTTCAATGAATACACTGACAAAGTTTCGGAAATGTTCGAAGTATCACAGCAATACTCGAAATCGATTCAAAATGATTTAAAGACATTATCGGCAGTCGTAAATTCAACAAGAAGCGAACAACAGAATTCCCTGCGCAGCATAATAGTGCAAGTTGGAAGATTAAGTGGAAAACCCAATGTCCTCAGTGATGGTATTTACAATAATGTTTATTCAAAATTAATTATCTAATGATAAACAATTTTAGGTCAATCGGACAGTGAATTAAGAAACTTATCGGACAAACTTGATGCAAATTTTGAGATGATAATGATGCTACAAAATCAATTTTTAGAAAGCTGCCATCGTGTACAAATGGACGAGGCGCACATAGAAACAAAAATAAGCGAAATTTTAGAGAAACTTATTGAAACTTTTGAAAGAAAGTGAGTATCCATACATGTAACATGAATTAGTGTTAATAGAAAATATGTAATTTCAGAACCTCCATTGAACTTAAAGATTTGAAGCTGTTGGAGCAGCTTTTAAAAGCACACGATACTAAGGTCCAAAATAATCTTTACACGACTTCCCAAATTTTAATTCGAAAATCATTAGAAAACAAGGATGAACTGAAGACATTATTGGGAAGCATCAAAGTTCGCATCGATAAAATATGTTCGGACGTGGATAATATCAAAAGGAAAAAAGACGTTGACTTATCCGGTATACAACAGAAGCTTCTCGTAAGTTGATGAATGCTATTTTAAAAGTATCTTGTATTAGTAATTTGTAACGATTTTCAGGCTTTAGAAGAGTATTTGAAGGAAAGTACAGAAGCATCGAAGAATATGGGCGCACCGGGAGTTTTAACGGAAAAAATACTCTCGGATATTCAGAGTTCTATACACCAGCTCTCGTCGTCCGCTTTGTGGCAAAGTGTTGTGAATGAGAAGGGTTTCTTAAATATAGAAGACTCTTTGAGGAATATCACAAATACATTTGAATCTGCCCAAAATGAAGCGTTTGAAGCTTTGAAAAATATCGAAAAGTACTTGCTGCAAAATAATGATACAAATGTACCAACCAACAATTATTTGGATGAGCAAATTCTAAAAATATTTGGGTTACCGAAACCAGGAGAATGCACCGAATTCACCATTAATTCGGAGACAGGCGAAAAAATTTGCATGGACGATATCCAGGAAGAGAATTGCTTAGATTACGATATCGATGTAAGATCGAATGCGAAGAATTGCAAACCGAAGTTGCCGGAACCGGATTGTCTCGAATATGATATAGACGTTCGGAGCAACGTAAAGATTTGTAAAAATAAAACTAATGAAAGTAATGCGAACTGCAACAATATGGGCATTGATGTTAGGACAGGTCAAATTTGTGATAATTCAGAGTTGGGCAATATTCCGAATAATACCGATGATTGCTCAGAGGATCCTCTCATCGATATTCGAGGAGGTAATACAAGAGCGAGGAATTGCTCAAATGTTAACAACAATATTCCGAATAATACCGATGATTGCTCAGATGATCCTCTCATCGATATTCGAGGAGGTAATACTAGAGCGAGAAATTGCTCAAATGTTAACAACACAACGGAGGAATCTATACTGTTCTTTACAAGAAGTAATGTGATCAACGATACGAACAATACATTGAGCCATGATAATTCAAGCGATTCAATGATGCAGGCAGATTTCGATCAAAGTATAAAGGTGCAAAGTCCTTGGCTAAGGATATTACCAAAAACCGCAAAATCTTCAGCGCTAACGCAAGGTCAAACTTCAGCGCAAAACGGTAGTTCGAGCATAGAATCTATTGCATCAGTAAGTAGCAACGAAGACGATGTATTTCTACAAGATGAGTATTACGAAGCTGACCATGTCACCGCTAAATTTGATGAGGACGACGACGATTTTATGATTGAATAAAACGTATTTTTTTTTTATTAAACTTTAACATAATTTGGATGCATGTTAAATTAAAATTTCTTATACTTACTTCGATTTTCGCACTGTTTTGGAATATAGTTGTAGCTTTGTGTGTAAGCTGAGCAAAACAGGAACTTAATGTGCATAGTTTTTGCCTGACATTGTACACAACGTCAGGTTCTTCTGAATCTAATTCACCTGTAAACAAAATACATTAATTAATATTTGTTTCAATTAAAAATCGATATTTCGAATGAATTATTATATTCAAATTGATGACTTAATAAAGTAACTAATAATAGAATTAATTATGAGAAAACACAATGCTAATGCGTTATGCAAATGTATACGCAAACAATCAGATGGCATTGACATTAATTAATAACAATTGAGTTATATATGGGGACTAATTAAAGTGTAATATGCATTTTGGTATAGAAATCAGGAAATAAACACATCAGAGTAATGATCATTTTGGGTGTAATTTATTATCATTAACCATGGAGCATTCAGTGCGTTAATTTGTTGTGTGAAAGCATTGAAACCTGAATGTGTACATATACGATATTTCACGTATAATTAGTAGATAAACTGGAATTGAGCCACGTAAACTAGCGGCTAAATTGCATTTTTATCAACAATAGTTTTGAGCGCTCCTGCTCGTATAGCATGCAAGTAATTTTAAAAGGTCTGGAGATTATTGGATTATACAAAATTTATGATTTACCAATAGTTAGATCTAAATCGACGAAACCCTTATCGAATTCTTTCTCTAAAATATCCAGCCACCGAAAACCGACACTGGCCATTTTTTTTTATCAAAATGCTATCACACAACACAGAACTAATCAACTATAAGACTAAAAACTGACAACTGACAGCAAATGACAATTGCAAACAGCTGTCAATATATTCTAGTCGAGACGCAAACCAAATAAAATCTTACAATACTCATACAAATAAAAGGTTTTAGGAAGAGCAACAATTATTCGAAATTATAATGTATACAAAATATAAATAAACTCAAGTACATAAACTAATTTATAATAATCTAATAGTATTGATCAGCACCATCTACATTTCAATTATTAAATGTATACAATCATATGGTTTGAACCAATTTGAACTGTTACATTTTGAAGGTTTTGTCCCTTGCATTACTGATTTCAACGGTTTTCCTTCTTTGATTTTACCCCTAACACAATGGAATCAACAGTTTCCGTCTCTAAAGTAAGTTGAAACATATAAGTAAATCATTTAATATGTTAACTAAGTACTAATTGTACTTAAATACATTTATTATTATCTTCCAGGGTGTTTTTGTTTTTAAAAATGGTTTACAACCAAACAAGCAGAAGGGAAGAGGTAGAAAAAAGAAAATCCCAACTGGCACTGGCAATATTTACAGAGATGAAATGTGGTTCCAAACATACACCGAACTGTGGGAGGTTTTAGAATCAAAAATCAAGGTTTGCTTTACAGATTTCATTTGCAGACAGTTAATAATTTTTGAATATACTGCAGGAATTGAATAGTGATATGTTTTCATCTATTCTATCAAATTTATTGAATTTTATTGATGGCAGTTATTGTAAGCCAGTTACTGAGATACCGGCTGGGGCTTTACTGACAGGAATTAACATGCCCGACCATGCAGTTCAATTTGAAACATTGAAAAGTTCAATCAATGAAAAAATCAGTCCTCATGTGGCTCATTTGAGTTCACAGGATTGTCCATCTCTTAAAAATCTTGTGGAGAATATGATCAATCAGTTTATTAATGAAGATATTGATTATGATTTAGATGAAGAGGTGAAGATGCATGGTTTTAGATATATGTTAAATATAAATTCATGTAGTGTTTGTTTTTGTAGAATGTGAAAAGTACAAAAGTTAAAATCAAAAAGTCCCAATGTAGTTTCACTCTCTTGCAATCATGGTATGAAGATTTATATAACAATAAAGTGGACAATGTTCTGGTTGTCATTTTACCAGATTTTGAGAGTTTCAAGGAAAATGTCTTACAAGATTTTATTCAAATAGCAAGGTATTGATTAGAACTTTACATTTTTTTGATACTATTTATAAGTTGATTAAAAAAAAATATTAATGTTAAAATTTTTATTTTTAGCTATTATGTAAATAAATTACCATTTGTATTGGTTTTTGGCATAGCAACGTCTTTGAGTGCTTTGCACAAAGCATTGCCTTATCATGTATCATCAAAAATCAATATACAGGTATTCAATTCTCAGCCTTCAATAACATATCTCAATAAAATTATAGAGAATGTACTTTTCTCTAATGATTGTCCTTTCTACTTAGGAGGGAAACTGTTTGCTCTATTCACAGATATATTTTTGTTCTACGATTTTTCAGTAACAGGATTTATACAGAATTTCAAAGTTAGTGTATATTAATAATTAACATAATTTAAACTTAATATTTTGTTATGCTTTAGTTCGCAATGTTGGAACATTTTAGCACCGGAAATGCTAAAGCACTGTGTATAACTCATGGATTCTCCGAAGTGTTGAAGAACTTTAGCAAAGAAGATTTCGAAAATGTGCGGATGTTGCACTCATTCAGAAGATTCGTCGAAGCAGAAAGTCCAAAAAATCAAATAGAATTGTTGACCGATGATAAATATTTCCAAAAGGCCATAAAAAAAGAACTGAATAAATTAATCTATTATATGAATAATTTAGTTGTCTTATTAGAGTGCTTGAATATTTTAACAGCAGACCTTCCTAAAGCTCCATTAGGAAAAACTGTGAGTAAAGAGTTCATTATTTATAATAAATTATTTAATTTATACATTAAATATGCAGTTTCGCGAAATATATTGCGTGGCTGTTTCGAAGAAGTTGAGCGAAACTGTCGAGTTCAAAGAAGCGTTTCAATTGTTGAGTTTCCAATCGAAAGACGAGCTGCTGACGAAAATAGATTCGGTGTTGAATCTTCTAAAAAACAACATTGAAATCTACACGGAAGAAAATATAGTTGATGATTTGAAAACGTTCATCGAAGAGCTGAATAATCTATCCAATGATCAGGTTGAAGAAGTTCAAGAAGATTTAGATTGTTTGAATATTGAAGGGACTATGCAACGAGCGCAGCTGAAACAAGTAATTGATTTAAGTGCATATTTGTACAGAAGCTAAATTTATCTATTGTTATATTTTTTTTAGAAATTGTTTCAACAGGCGAAATCCCAGAATAAACCAATGAATGCGTATGAAAAGTTTCGATCAAAAGTTGTGGAATATTTCGAGCATATATTCGAAGAATACCTTAAAGTTCCAACGGATTTTACTTTCCATGAAATATTCTTTTACAATGACATTTCCATACAAAATCATATAATTGGTTCTCATCGAGCCGCGATTCATACTGCGTTGAATGATCCTCAGAGTTACTTGGATGTAAGTCTAAATGTGTTTTAACTGCAAATAATTTATGGTTTTATGTTTATTGTAGTGTTCGTGTTGTGGCATTTCAAATGATGCAGTCATTTTAAGCTCGATGCCGGACATTTGTATCGCCTACAAATTGCATTTGGAGTATGGGAAAATGATTAACTTGTACGATTGGCTGCAAGCTTTCTTATCCATCCTCGATCCTGTCCATGCCGATGACGATAATGAGAAACGTGAGGTGGACCCACAATTGCAGTATCCTTTTTTAAAGTCTACTTTAAATAGATTAAATATAAGATTTTTCATAAATCTTTAGATTAAAAACAAAAGAAAATATTCTGGTCATTTTGTTATTATTTTTTCTTAATTAAGATATTAGAGCTCGTTTTACGCAGAGCGTAGCCGAAATGGAATTCCTCGGATTTGTTAAGAGTTCGAAGAGGAAAACTGACCATGTTTCAAGGTTGACATGGGGTGGATAAAGCAACAATTTATTTGTTATTTATTTATTTTTATATTAATAAAGTATTTTTTTTAATATGATTTTTCGTTTCATTTAGAGAAAATGCAAATAAATTCTTCCTGCTTGTCAAGTTTTGTAATTATAAGCAAAATTGGGTAGAGATGTATATTTTATATTTAAAAAAATTGTTATTTACAAATCCTACCTTATTATTGAAATAAGATAATGGTATTCAAAATTTTAAATTCAATTCTTTGTTTGTACACTCTTGGTAAGCTGTCGTAAGTAAGAATTTACTCAATGTCTTCCGCACAGTTATTACTGTACTTGAATTGCGCGTATCTCGCCTTTGAGAAAATTCGTTACACTTTGCTGTTTATAACGCGTTTTTCTAAGTAATTTGGAGAAAACGCAAGGAGGCAGCAACACATATATAAATCATGTTTGTATGTAACCCGTCCTCAAACTCAAACATCATGTGCTGCAGAGATACATAGTATTTAGTCCGTTGTTCTCAAAAGCAAACACCGAATTGATTATACATGCGTGGATGTATACGTAAGATGGCACCGAGCGTGGAACAAGCAGAGAGAGAGTACCATCCTCCTCCCCGCCGTCGTTTACTATATTAATAAAAAAAATGACAAAAACAAATTAGTAACAGGTTTAAATTTACACAACAGTTTTTAGTATAATGTGAAAAGTACACATTGTGATTGCATGGCCAGCTAGACGTAGACAAGTGTTAATTACACGTATAAATAAAGTCGACCAAAATGGCTGCTGCTGCCGCACATTATGTACGAACTGAGCACGTTTTTAAACAGAATATTCCTTCTTTTCACTCAAACAAGTTTAACACGAAGAGATATACTAAACCTTTTCAATATTCATCCTTTTTCAAAATACAGCAAACACCAGAAACCACTCTGAAACGTTCTATTAAGAAAAAGAACTAAGTGTGTATCTTTTTCTCAATTTATAAAAAATAAAGAATATACAAGCTGTATCAAAATACGACATGTTCCGTCGATATAGTCTAAACCAGGGGTTCCCAAACTTATTCGATTTGCGGCGTCCTTAATATATCAGAATTTTTTCGCGGCGTCCCAATTCAAAACATTGATCTATTTCAGGGCACTTTATGTTAATAGTAGTTTTTCTTCAATTTTCGCGGCGTCCTGGTCTAAACTATAATGATGTAATCAAATTGAATTAAAATTTAGACGTTATCAATGAACTAACATGTACTGAAATAGATTAAATTGCTGAAACTGCTCATTTATCTCTACCATTCTTGCGAAATTAGTGGTCAAGTGCTAATTTCGTATACGTTAATTGTTGCATGTATTGTTGCAAATTATATATTTACCCTGTAGTTATGGTTCATCTAAATGGAATATTAAGTACATATTTAGAAACCTTCCGATTTACTAAATGAAAAATACATGAAGATAAGTGTAGAAACATCTAAAACTGTGTTTTGTGTATTACTAATATCAAATATGTAATAAACTGATTGCGTGTCAGAAATTAGTCAGTTTTTCAATGAAGCAGAAATTAGAGATAGGAAATTTGATGATTATATTATCTCATAGTATATACTATAAGAATTAATTATAATAAATTCGAGTGGTAGCATAAATAGTGCACGGCGTCTTGGATGCGTCGGATTGCAGACCGTTCAAAGGAGTGCCGACAATGGCGGTCGGCCCTCGCGCGGTGGCCATAAAGACATTAAAAGAAGTGGCTTCTGATATGAGCCGTCCTGGCCCAAGAACACGAAATCTTACCTTTTTCATTCTTTCCTCCGTTGCGTTTATTCTCCGCTTTTTTTTTAATACGTGTTGTATGTATTTACAACAGTTACCTATAAAACCTGCACGCCGACGTTTGCGGTCTTCCCTTTTATTGAAACTCACCTATAGCCACCAAAGTAGCAACACTTAAAACACTTAAGCTTTTAATTAATGATTTTGGAAACACGAAATTTTATATTTCACAAAATATATATTAAGAATACGAAGTTTTCACAAATATTTAGGTATTTTAATAAATTTTTGTTTCTATTTATTATACTTATCCTCCTTGCAATATTCTTTAACAAACGAAATTGTTTTTATGTATACCAAATTAGTCCAAGGTATCTAATAATAAAGATAGGTCTTAATTATTTATAGATTTTTTTAAATAATTAAAATGGTTATTAAAATGGATAACTCAATTTATATTAAATTGACTTATTACGTAATCTAATTGCAAATTGTTAGCGTGTTTACATCTAGTAAAGAAGTAAGCAATAAATCATCAATCAATTATAGTAATTAATTAGTCACTAAATCATAAATATATTTACAAATTATGTGTGCTGGCATAAAGTTGCTAAAAGCAAATGAGGATTATAATTGGGCAATTGTTGGTTGCATTTATTTGTATTAGCAGCCATTAAACTTAATGCGTTGGAAAATTAATGGATCAATAAGTTTGAACACTAATCGCTATGCACACTATATTTAATATACACATTATTTTAGCACAATTGTAACAGTTTTCTTAACGTTTTCAGACATGTGCAGTTGCTAAAAATTACACAATCAATATTTGGTCAAATTCGACTTTAATATTTCGGAATTTTCAGTGTTTAATACAAGAAGTTAAATTATGAGGATTTATGTAATAATTAATTGAGAAAAAAGTTTATTCATTATTATATAAGTAACACTTGATTTGTTCATTTTAAATAATTGTTATATGACAGAGAAAAAAAGTTAAACACTTTATGTGATTTTTCTTTGTATGTAAGTTGATTGTTAATTTAAGAAAACTATTCTTTGTTCCATCTTCGTTACGAAGGAACGATTTTTTTTACTTCTGAAAATGAAGTTTCGCTTAACGAAGTAATTTCGTGGAACGCATCCTATTTGTTAATCGAGTTAAGACTTACATAAGTATACATTGCAATGATTGTAAAAATTGGTATTAAAATAAATAATCTGATCTGAATTAGTTCAGTTGTCCTTTAGAACAATGTTTCTCAACTTATTGTTCTCAACCTTGTGTCAAAGCGAGAAACTGGTGAAAGCAATCAAGAAATATGTTTGGTGGCTTGGCAAAAGTTGAGAAACGCTGTTATAGAAAACAGATTCTACTTTTGCCAATCATTGATTTGATAGGCAATATAAAGTGGAAATCACTATTATAAATATTTATTTCATCTAGGTAAATGAAATACAAGAGACTTTAAAGACTTTAAAATAATATATAGAAAACTTTATGAGAGTTAAACAATCTTCACTGATAATACTTGTATGAATAATCAGTTTATTATGGCGATTCAGCTAAATAGATTAGCATATATGTAAGACAGAGGTAATTTACCTATTTAACATTCCACATTATATCAATATATAAAAAATAGTAATAAATTATTTGTTTACTGGAGAAAATTATTTTATTTGATAACTAAAGTTTATTTCAATTAAATTGACATCCAATATAATTTTCATTTAAATGAAAGACAGAACTCAAAATGTTCTTATAAATATTCATTTTTAGATATATAAGTATTGTTATAAAATACTTATAATAATTTCACCCTACTAAGTTAATGTTAATTATGATAATGTTTTAATGTATGTTAAATCAAAAATTTTATGTTGCAGGTTTTTTCTATTGACACAAATTTAGATGAAATTGTTAGAAAAAAGTGATGATAATGAAGCAATACTCCACTCAATTTAACATTAAAGAATCGTACAATTAAATAATCTACTATTATAGTACAAATTAAATTAATACTCCCTCTGTCCGAAAATATGGTATACATTTTAACATTTAATGTAAATACAAATAAGATTTAGATTTAGCCTTGTTGAACGCTTCTTTTGGACAAATACATTTTGTATACATTTCAGTTAATCAACTCTCACGACGAAGTTTTACCTTATTTATATGAGGAAATTTATTTGAATTTCCTCCTCCTGTTAACGTTATTAAGAGTATTTGTCTCTAATTTATTAAATGCATTTTGAACACATTAATCAATTCATCAATTATCTTTGGCGAAGCTTCAAGTTGTAGTGATTAAATAGAGTAAAAAACACAAAGTGAGAACATTTAAATCGGTAGTGGTTGTGGTTATTAACGCGTTTAATAAGAGATATAATTGAATATTTTTTTTGTTCAATCCTTTTATTTTATAGAAAAGCTGTATTTGTGGATTAATCGTACATAAAATTTTATATAAATTGCTTACAAAAATCTTTAAAGAACAAGAAAAACAATTCAAGGAAAATAACCCGGTAATCATTGCTTCTTTTAAAAACTTTCTATGTTTATTAGTTTATTACTAAAGAAAATTCTTTTAGAACCAATAAAACATTATACGTTTGTTATGTTCAGTAATATGTACTTGTACTTAAAATGTTTGTGTAAATATTAGTTATTGTTAGTAACAGTATTGCAATAAACTACTTAGAGTAATCCTACCCTAAAATATCAATAACAATCTAATCCGGTAATCATCGTTTTTCTTTACAACTGTTGCTATCGCATAATCTTCGAAGGAAAATTTAAAAAAAAGAGAGAAAAATAAAGGTTCTTGAGTTCTTCCTGTATTTCGGTGCTTGCAATAAAGATATTATACATTTATTTTTTGTTGCAGTTCGTGTATTTTGTTTGTTGAAGGTGGGTGGGCCAGATTGTAACCGATTACAACCGGAAACAACAAACAGAAGGGACTGCGATGAAACAGAGATGGAAAATGCGGGGCGGAACATTAATGCGTTTCAATGTTTACACACTGAGGAATATGATGACAGGTAAAAATTGATGCCGCACGTTTATTGGGTGGCAATAATTTGGCCACCTTTATCAATGGCCGGCACCTATTGAGCACAACAAAAGGACAGACAAACTACCGACAATATTCTACAAGTGCAGACGAAGAAGTTTAACTCACAAACAAAGTGAGAGAGAAACAGATATAGATGAGAGAAGAAACGCAAATAGCAAGAAGATATCCTCTTCGACGGCGACGTTGCGCAATTTCACCTATACCTCGATCACCCGAATTACAATATTTCTTCTGTTTTCGCTTCCATTTTTATTATCTATTTGCTGTTTGAATATTTAAAAAAAATGTAATCATGGAGACACGGTCGCTGTTACGTGCGGGACAAATATGTTATTTATTGATTTACCGATTCGCACCTCTAATTCTCTTCTTTTTTTTTATATATTTCATTTCGAAACAACACAATAAATAAATTCATATCTGCATATGTGGTGTAGGTATGATGTCTCCGTTTAACAATTCCATCGAGAAATATGAATGCTATTTGCTTAGTCTTTCTAGAATGCAATCAAGCACGTGGCCTTTGGATTATGCAATTTAGACGACGCAGTTTCATTGGTCTCAATGAAACAATGATATTATGTCATATTCTTTTAATAGCTAATCAAATATTTAAGCATACAATACCCAAAAAATATATTTTTTTAATTTGATAATTTTACTAATTTATTAAGTTGAGTGGAATATAATTTGTAAATTCTTTAATTATATTTAAATAATATTAAATTATTTGTTAAGTAGTAGCATTTGTTGCTGTTTGATTAACAATTATATTGTATTACAAAGATAAAACTATTTTCTATTAATAAACTTTAATTAACTAAGTGATTTTCTTTTTTTAATATATTTATATATATTCAATAATAATTTTGTTCCTATAAATGAGAAAATTTTAAGAAATTTATAATTCTTAAGTAGCAAACACGATTGATTTAGAATATTTATACTAATGAAAATTATGAAAGAAAAAGAAATGGTCGGAAATTTTATTTTATTAATAAAAAAAATAATGACAAATAAACATTTGATACACAATTATTTAACACTTTAAAGTGAAATATTGAAGGATTATATAACCAAAGATTGATTTCTCAATAAACTAATATACATATTTTATATAAATATACTGAAAATTGTTTCATGGAATTCAAATATTAAATAATTTGACTAATTGCATTGTAAATGTTAATACGGTGATAAAACGAGTTACTTTTAAATTACGATTTTTAAAAATAATTCTTCGTATCACGAAATTAGCAGTTTTCTTGTAGAATTGATTAATGTTCATATTATTTCTTCATGATTTAATAGGAATTGATAGGTCCATGAAATAAATAAAAATGTTTAATATTTTTTTTAAATTTATTTCTCAACAAAACTTAATTTACAGTTGAAATATTTCTAGTTAAAAACTATTGCTTTAGTTTGATGAAAAAAAACTCCGCCTACTATTTTTTGCAGTGATTTTATTGGATCAAGAAAAATTGGTGATATATGAATGAAATGTTAAGTAATTGCTTATTGCTTTGAGTACATACCGAGGAGAATATATTCTTAAGCACATAGAAGTTGGCACTATTGGTTTGGTTATATTTTCATATAATTGTTGTTGTTCTTGTTACTTTGTATATATTATATACATTTTTTTTTAATTGAAGATTTATGAGCGTTGTGGATTAAAGTGCGCCGATGATTAATTACTCAGGTTCTGTTCGAGCCGCGGCATATGTAAAAACAATGGGAGCAATGAGCAAACAGGGATGGCGGCAGTTGGATTCCGCTGACCACTGAGTCCGGTCTCCTCGACCAATCCGGTTGTTCTCGCTGGACGGTAGGTGTGGTCCCAGACCTGCTCATCTTGTACACTTAAAGACTTAGTCAGATCGCGATAATGTGCTAAGACCCGTGAAATGTAAGAACTATTTATCGGTTTAGTGTGAAACAACAACAAATAATATATAATAAGCGTTTAATTTACAAAATACTAACTCGAGTGTTTATTAAATGAGCATATAAATGGTCGTGCCTGGATCTGTCCAATTCATCTCATTTACCACTGGATACGCACGCATGTAGATTTTTTCCTGGGGGCGCCGACGGTGCGAATGAATTGCACAAAGACCCACTGAAACGAACGACAACAGCAACAATATACAAAAAGAATAAATTTTCTCCCTGTTTGCTCCCTTCTTTTGCTCTCCCAAAGGTAAGAATATGTGCGAACATGGATAATTCGCATCCAGTGTGCATTTTTATTATTTCCCAAATCTTAAAACCCAAATGGAATTGTCCAAACACAATTGTTTAAATATTAATTTTTCTACAATAAAATATTTCTCATTATTTAAAATAATTTACCAAAAGAAAATATTAAGAACTGTGTTTTTGTTTCTTTTTATATTAATATTTTAATTATTGATTATATTTAAAATATTTATATATTATTAAATATAAATAAGTTATTATGAGGATTTTAGTATAAAACGTAAGAATTAATGCAGAATTATTTTCCGGCGGGTTAAAATTTAGAAAATTTTGTGATAGAAGTTACAAGGAATGAAATTTAAGTTTCTACTGAATATAAAACAATTTACAAATAGAAATCTGTATTGTAATAATCTAGGTAATTACGTAGAAGAAACTTACTTAATATTGTAAGTAGCGCGTATTGCATCAATTTTGAAAATAGAAGAGTGTGTATCTATCCAAAGGCCGTTATTTACTTTAAAAATTATTTCATTGACGTCTTTTAACAGAGACCGTGATTGGGACTGTCGTCACGCGCTCCCGAATTGCATTGACTGAAAGAATTAGACCTGGTGGAAACGAAAAAAAAATGGCTCAGCATATCCTCTCCGCGGTGGAATCTGAGATATCCCAGGGGAAGGCAGGTAAAGGAGACTTCGGTGAAACGGACCTGTGCGTAACTTTGGACGACAGAGACCTCTGGGTGCGTTTCCAATGCTTCACCAACGAAATGATCGTCACGAAGAACGGAAGGTAATATTTGTCGATTTGATTGAAGCTATGTGATCTTTAATGCTTTTTCAATTGATTAGGAGGATGTTTCCGGTGGTCAAAGTGTCCGTCAACGGTTTGGATCCGAAGGCTATGTACACGGTTCTTCTGGAGTTCGTGCAGATCGATCCGCATCGCTGGAAGTACGTGAACGGAGAATGGGTACCAGGTGGTAAGGCGGAGGTGCCTCCATCGAATCCGATCTACATCCATCCGGAATCCCCTAATTTCGGGGCTCACTGGACCAAGGAGCCCATCTCGTTCGCGAAAGTAAAGTTGACCAACAAGTGCAACGGGAATGGACAGATAATGCTGAATTCGTTGCACAAGTACGAGCCGAGGGTGCACTTGGTCAGAGTTGGAACGGAGCAGCGCAGGGTGATGACGTTTCCGTTTCCGGAAACGCAGTTCATCGCTGTAACCGCGTACCAAAACGAAGAGGTGACATCGTTGAAAATAAAATATAATCCTTTCGCCAAGGCTTTCTTGGATGCGAAAGAGAGGCCAGATAGTATATACAATCAGAGGGAGTACGCGGGCGGTTTCAACTGCCAACAGCAGACGCAGTACACTTCACAATGTGAGTATATATGACACGATTATCATTGCTAATATGAAGCATGAGCACGCCATGAAATTGCATCGCTTAAACTTGTTGTTATGGTTATACAATGATTAATACAGATGGTTCCTTGTTTTTACCACACCATCAACCGATCTACCCAGTGGTAACAGCTGTTCAATTACCGAGCCCCGCCAGATCTCCGCAGATGTGCTACAAAACTACTTGCAATTTGCAAAAGAATCGATTGTCGCCGTACACCGTCCACCGCAACAAATCGAGTTCCCCGGACGCTTCACCACCGAGCGGTAATCTATACATTTATCATTAATTAGCATTTTATTAATTGACCACATCTTAATTTCAGTCTACAACCCCCCAGACCATATACTGCAGACGACGTACACTCAACCTACGACGTATCCGACATGGTCTTCACTGCAGCCCCAAACACCTACAACAATCATGTCTCCAACAATAAACTGCTGGTCCCTGACCTCAAGTCCACCACCTCCTCACCAAATCTCCGCTCAAACCACCCCAGATCAATCCCCGACGCATCAGTTCTACCCACCCATGACGAACTATTACCAGCAGGACGTGACATACGCGACGCACTATCAAAACGCCGAATATGTACCATTGGTAAACGGTTACGCTCAGATCGAGGACACCAGGGAGGTCAACAATGGTAATGGGGTGGTCTATCAAGAGGTCGGACAAATTCCGGAAACCAATTCAAGAAACCAAACAGAATCTCCCGTCAATTCCAGCGGCACGCCAAGACCAAACGAATGGAGCCATCAGCAGTTATAAAATTTGACATCAATTCGATATCATTTTTGTATAAACTATTATATTATAATAAGAGCGGACCAATATTATTATTATTCATAAATAAAACAGATAGATTTGCAGTTTCCTTTCTTACAACTCTAACGCCCGTCTTCGTTTAGACGCTAGGAATTTTCGTTGTTAAGTGCCTTTTATTGGTTGTGAAAATGGCGTGGCCTGAGATTCAGGTAGGTCAGAGAAACTTAATTAAATAAACATGTATTTTTAGATTTAGAGAAGATTTTTTAATTGAAGTAAGGTCAGTACCAATGCTAATTGGTAACATTTTCTTTAGTTTCATTTACAATTACTTTATAATTAAATTACTTTAGTTTTTAAACGTATCCTACATAATTATGATATTATTACCGTTTGTTCTATTTATATTCATTTTAATAAGATTACAATAAATTATGATCTAAATGATTCCATTATTTAATTTATTTTATTATATTGACCGCAAAAATAGTGTTTTTTCTCTTTGATAACAATTGATTAATAGTATCTCAATTTATCAATTCATATTAAATACCTGCATATCATACGCTTCGTTGTTGTTTTACAAGCAATGTTGATATTATATAATGGACGGCGTACAAATATCTTCATATGATTTAAAGTGGCGTTTAAAGTATTTAGAGTGGTTATGGGTTGAGTAAACTAATAGATCTGCAATGGTTTTACATTGAAATAAAACGACCTAATTCAATCAATTAACGTCATCAATCTAATAATGTATGTAAATAACATTAGGAGAATAAATATTTGCGAGACCGACATGCATTGTTAAAAAAATGGCGCCATACTTAACCGTGTTGTTTTGGTTACATATACCTAAAATAAAGGGAAAAACAAGCCGCTGTATTTTAAGTTGCATATATTAATCTCAGTTTACATCTAAAGTAAAACTTTGTTGTAAAATGTATAATGTGTGATTTTAATTACAAGTAATGTACAGTATGTATCTATTGCGTAAATAAGTACTACGCGTTACTTGTCAATTAGATGTCTTTAAAATTTTGCTATTTGTAAAGTAAATATGTGGTTATAAGATGTTACAAGAAAGAGAATTTTACATTTATTAGAATTAATTAGTGTAATTTTGAAAGTACCGAAGTATTGAAACATATCGGTTATTATAATATGTATACTTAACAAATAAGAAAAAAGCTAGTATCTTGTTACCTTTTTTCTTATTTGTGAGTGTTATTTTTGTCCGAGTTTCCCAAGTACTTTATAAATTATTTCACAAGTCTATTGAACCTTAATTCATATTAATTCCAATTACCAACAAAAAATAATAATAATTTCAACCTTTTTATATTTTAAAAAGTTGAAATATGACGTTTATATTATTTTAAACAGATAGTGTAAATTATTAGCTTTAATTGTATTTATTATATAATACAATTAAATTGATCTTGTTTCTATAAAAGTATACGTTTTCGGTTATTACTTGCAATGAAGATTATGTTGTTAATCATACCCGGCGCATCCACCAAATCGAGAACATTATATACAAATAATGGCGAACTTTGTGGGATTGGTGTGTCAAAATTCGGGAAAAATGTAGCTTAACTCGTGTTCCATGTCACTTAGATACATATGTTATAAGAGGAGGTTGATTTCTAATGCATTATCGTATTATACATAAATTTATATGGGGAAGATTCTTGAACAAATTATGTTCGTTACAAATGTTCTAATGTTTGAATCGCTTGAAAATTCAAAATAAGAGTTAAGATAATTCAAAATAAGATTTAAATATAAATATAATAACATGTCGTAATGCTGTATACAATCACAATATAAATATCGACTTGCTAATTAGATGAAATTAATAACAGAAGAATTAAAGTACTACGTTTTGTAAGTTTGGTTGCATACGGTATTACACAAATCGAGTTATTTACACATCAATCATATCAAACATTGATTCTAATATTATATAACAATAATTGATTATGTTATTATTATAACAAAGATATTTAAAAAAACATTATTGTAATGATTACACATCTTATTTTTTTATTTCAAAGTAATTACATGTAATGCCATATGTATCATATAAAAATAATAATATATTCTTGTGATGCATCTATTGTGGTACATGGTATATTATCAAATGATGAGAACCATTGTTTCCATACATACAAAAGTCTTATCAAACATAATGTATAATCAGGTTGGTAATTGGAACTGAACAGTTTATCGAGTTCGGCGCTCGCAAATTTGGAGCGAAAGGAATTTACTTTCTGCTATTGGAATAATGAATTCCGGCGCAAAATTATGTCAGTCTTTAGAAATTCGCGTTGATAAATTTGGCATTGTGGAGTTCGCCGGCTATAATCTACGGCCGACATTGAAACCGAGTTGGTGGGGACATAACTGTAATATCGTTATTATTATTATGCACGTTGTATATGTGTATATATGTGTATATATATAAATGTGCGTGCGTCTGTATGGATGTGTGAGTATGGTGGTGGTGGCCGCCGTTTGTCTGCCGGAAGTGCATTCTATGGCGACGTAGCGATGCACAAGAAATGCAACACACTGACATATATTTGCTTTTACTATTGAACGGGTCTGTTCTTAGAAGCCATTGGCTTACTTTGAGCATTGCCAATGCAAGTATGCGGTTGATTCTAGTGCGAATGGATCTTAGCTCCTATGACCACTCAGTTATTAAACACAAGATCGAACGCCAACTGCCATTTGTTATTTTACTCATTGCACAGCTCTCGATTCTCACTTCTGTTTCTTCTTTTCTCTCTCTCTTCCCCTCAGTAGATGTATTCTTTCATTTCCAGTTTTAGAAAACGTCCAATTAGATTTCCTTGTAAAACAAGAAAAGAGTAAACTACCATGCCACATCTTTTAATAATAAGAATAATGTATTGACCCATAAGACAAAAAATATATATAAATAATTTAATTAAATAATTTTAAGATTTAAATAAAAACATCAATTGAAACTTATATTAAAGAACAACAGCTTCTTTCATGATTTAAATAAAGTAAATTCAGAATCAAGTAATTATTATTAAAATTCAATTATTTATATACAATATACAATATTGTTTTCTAACATTTTTTCCCTATTTACTTTTATATATTAAGTAATTAATCATTATGAAAGAAAGAAGTATTTATTAAATTGAACGTTTTAAAATGTTAAAGTTTTATAATATATATCGAGAGGAAGATGAATCGAATAATAAGAAATTTAAATAATTCATAAAGTTAAATATCTTCATTATTTTATTCAGTTTGAATATTTCTAATATATATTGTAAATCTTATTGTAGATTTATAAATATATAAGAACAAAGATTATGAGTTTATAAAATGGTTAAACTTTGTTTTAGATTCATATAGTATTACTAAATTTGAGTCACTGCTATCACTTCTGATATCCCAGTATTAGGCTTTGTTTAAAGTACCTAAAACTACATTTAATTTTATTTAATTTAAAATTTACTATGTTATTTCTGTGTTTTTCTTTTATAGTTTATATTGTAATATAGTTGTTTATTTTTCATTTAAATATTCTAATATTCTCATCCAGTACGTCCAATTAGGCTTGGTTCTGAAGCAAGAATACAGTGAACTTGCAGCATTTGCATGCAATAAATCCTGCTTGAATGCAACAAACTCCTCCGCCGAGAGGTCGATCTATGATGACTAATCTATCCACGGATAGACGACCACAAAGGATAAAGATAAGGATTTGAATTTCGTGTTGGCCGATGGATGAGTGGGCGAATTTTGTTGCATAATGATGACCGGGCGCAAAGTTCAATAAGCTCGGTTGTTTTTTTATTTTCTAACCGCGAGGTTGTGAGAAATTTCGAGCGAACGTTTCGTTCCGTTTGGGGGGCCAATGGCCCACGAAAGTGAACATCGCTGAGCGCACAACCGAAATTCGCCGTTAGTTTTCGGCCAACGAACCCATATGCCAATAACACGGGTTCCTCCGTCGTCTCAGCAGCTAGAGTTTTCATCCAATTAAGTAAAAAAAAAACATGGGCAAGATCAGAGCAGACATAGACCAGAAACGAAGAGACAGAGGAAGATTATCAAAAAAAAAATGGGAAACAAGTGTTTCTTCTAACTGTGCTTTGAACCTAAAATTGATCATCACCTCTGTCTGCAGCGCCACGACAGGGTCAAATCATGCTTTCGATATTAAATCCCGGTGTTTAAGATTACATCACGGAAACCAAAATTGTAATCATTATAATAACAATTTGAACATTGAAGAAATCCGCATACCTCACGTCTATTTATACACGTTATTGTTATAAACACTTTATCATGATTTTATCTCGTTTGTACTTGTGTCCAAGCGATATTTTCAAGCTAAACAAATAACAGCTACTTCATTATACACGTTATTACATCAACATTCTATTTAACATGTATATCAAATCATTATTTTCGAAACATATTTAACTTTATTATAACAATTGCGTGAATAAGAGATACGCAAATTCATCATATATACCAATTGGTTATCATGCAAATGTTGACGCTGGAAATGTACTTATATTTACGATTTGAAAAAATTCCATCTATGTAGAAAAATTTCAATATATGGTATATTTTATGTTTTATTTTTTGCAATAAATTTGAAACAAAACTGACTATTTTCATTCTCATCAGCAATTAACTTCTTTTTCAATAATCTAATATTATATATAACTTTATAAGCATTAACATTTATCTAATTTATTAACATTTATTATCTTATTACTATTATTTAATTATTATGGATTTTGATTTATTTTTCATTGATTCTTCTAGTGGTTTCTGTTTTCGAACAATTCAATTTTCGAATAGTCTCTGGAAACAAATAATTTTTGCAATAAACATTTTTATTATAAACTTAATTATGAATTCATCGAATTCATTTATCCTTCATAATATAATCACATACTATCACATTCTATAAATTATTAAGAATCAAATAGAACCAT